ATTTATCATTTCTTTGTGTTGGAAACATTCAATATCTTCCTTCTAGCTATTTGAAACTATGTATTATTTTTCTTTTTAATTTTATATTCAGAGGGTACATGTGCAGATTTGTTACATGGGTATATTGGATGATGCTGGAATCTGATCTTCAAGTAAACCCCTCACCCAAATAGTGAACACAGTACCCAGTCGGTTGTTTTTCAACCCTTGCCTCCCCTTCTTCCCCCATTTTGGAGTCCCCAATGTCTATAGTTTTCATTTTATGTCCTTGTGTACACACTGTTTAGCTCGAACTTATAAGTGAGAACATGCAGTATTTGATTTTCTGTTTGTGCACGAATTCACTTATGATAATGGCCTCCAGCTACATTCATGTTCATGCAAAGGACATGATTTTATTCTTTTTATGTCTGCATAGTATTCCATGGTGTACATATGCCAGATTTTCTCTATCCAGTCTGCTGTTAATGGGAACTTGGGTTGAACACATGACGTTGATATTATGAATAGTGCTGCAATAGCACAGGAATACAGGCGTCTTTTTGATTGATGGAGTGGTTAATTTTCATTTGGGAAAATACCCAGTAGTGAGATTGCTGGATTGAATGTTCATACTATTTATAATTCTTTGAGAAATCTCTATTCTGTTTTCCATAGGGGTTGAACTAATTTACATTCCCATCAACAGTGTATAAGTGTTCCCTTTTCTCTGCATCCTTGCCAACATCTATTATTTTATGACTTTGATAATAATAGTCGTTCTGGCTGGTGGGAAATAGTATCTCATTGTAGTTTTAATTTGCATTTCTCTAATGACTAGTGATGTGGAACTTATTTTTGTGTTTCTTGGCCACTTGTATGTCCTCCCAAAGCATTTTTAAATCTCTAGAATGATCTCACATCAGTGCAGTGCTATATTATTTGGAGTAGAAATTTCTAAGGGCAAATAATGCTCCTTGGACTTAACGAATGTTTGCTCTAAACTAGTTATAAAACCAAAAATGCTTTCCTGTTCAAATGCATGGAAACACTATAATCTCCATGGATCAGATAGCCATCTTTGCACATTTCTTCTTGGGACTCTGGTTTTTGTTCTGATGTTTGCCATTACAGGCGAAACAGCATTGTGTAACAACAATTTCCTGGGTGCTTTAAGATGGTAAGCCACATAGCAGTTTGAGTGTTATAGAAGAGTTTAGAAAAGGTCCGCTGGGAAATTCCAGATCTTTACAGTTCTGTCCTCCTCTGCAATTCTCCATTTTTTTTAATGCATTCTAATTGTATATAATCATTGCTAATTGTATATAATCGTCTAGGCAACCTTCTCTGTTGTGTCCCTTCTTTCCTTTGTGTGTGTGTGTGTGTATAGCTTAGTTGCTCATGTTAAGGGAACTTCCCTGAACTCTATCTCTTTAAACTAACAGGGATTTTTCTCATCTTAATTCTCATGGTTAGAAGATATGAATCAACATGATTCTTTTTTAAGATTTATGTGCCTTTGAAAAAAAAGATTTGACAATTGCATGAACTGGTAAATTTTACACACATAACAGCATGATGAAGACAGTTTCTTGGCTGGTCACACTGGCTTACACCTGTAATCCCAGTACTTGGGGAAGCCAAGGTAGGTCGATCACTTGAGTCCAGGAGTCTAAGACCAACCTGGGCAGCGTGGTGAAACCCTATCTTTCCAAAAAAAAAAGAAAGCAAAAATTACCTGGGTGTGGTGGCACATGCCTATAGTTCCAGCTATTAGGAGGCTGAGGTGGGAGGATCCCGTGAGCCTCAGCTGCAGTGAACCATAATCGTGCCACTGCATTCCATCATGGGTGACAGAGTGAGACACTGTCTCAAAGGAAAAAAAAAGTGTTTCTTGAATGTTCAGAGGTGTAGCAAACGAATACTACAAGGATATTTGGTACCAGTAGAAACTTTGTCAACCCTGTAAATCTTTAAGAGTGGACAGTTCGGGCTGGGCACGGTGGCTCATGCCTGTAATCCCAGCACTTTAGGTGGCTGAGGCAGGTGGATCACGAGGTCAAGAGATTGAGGCCATCCTGGTCAACATAGTGAAACCCCATCTCTACTAAAAATACAAAAATTAGCTGGACATGGTGGCACGCGCCTGTAGTCCCAGCTACTTGGGAGGCTGGGGCAGAATTGCTTGAATCCAGGAGGCGGAGGTTGCCATGAGCCAAGATCGCACCATTTCACCACTTTAGCCTGGGTAACAAGAGTGAAACTCTGTCTCAAAAAAAAAAAAAAAAGAGTGGACAGTTTGGAAAAGCCTTTCAGAAGGTAGACTGGAGGTGCCTGTGATGCCTGAGCAGCCTTGAGGATTAGAAAGTCCCACACGGCAATGTAAGGCCAGAGACCAGGTTATGCTAACATGCTCTCAGAAGTCCCCTGAACACATTTGACTTAAGCATAGATGACAGCTCCTTTGGAGTTCAAGTTAAGTTACATCTTCAATATGGATACAAAACTAAGCCTTCAACCAGAATCTGGGGCAAGAGTTTAAGTAAAGGCCAATGTATCAAGTTATAAATCAAACTGCTAAATCAAATACAGCTTCCTCCCTTGTCAAGTATACTTTCACCACAACCCGGAAGGCTGCATTTCATATACTGGAGTTCTGTGACAGAGCATGGTGGCTTGGGGAAAGCTTGTCCTCTGGCTCCGTCTTCCCTTTTCTTCCCATCTGTGGCTCTATCCTGGCCCCTCATGCCCATGTATGAGCATGGACACTCCAGCCTACATATCCATGCCGTCCACATCCCTGACAAACAGCTGATCCTTGGACACCCCTAGGCACTGGCTTGTGTACCTGATGACATGATCTGTCTTCAAGAATGAACCTGAAGAAGCTGCCATTGCAGGGTTTGGAGTAGGGCTTAGAGCCCCTTGGACAGAGAGTCCCATTGTTCCCTCCACGGGCCATGGTCTAGACAGGAAGACATGGGCCCTTGATGGGCACGTCCTCCTGGCCCCAAGGACTCCAGTACTAATAGTAGCAAGACCTCCAACAATCCACCCCCTTGCTCTGTGGATTTGTGTAGTTTAAGTTACAGATAACACCATTAGTCATTGAGGGTGTTATTTCTAGTGGTGAATAATTTCCACATTTTATTAAATGTACAGATAACAAGGGTTGTGCCATCTAAACCTTTTGACCCACGTTGCATCCCTGCTGAGAGAATTCTTATAGATAAATTAGAGAAAATCATACATTTTGCTTTACATAGGAGCATTGCTGTGTCATCTGGCTTTACCCGTTTATTCATTATCAGTTTATTTAAACTGTTAGAACCAACTTTGTTAAGGAGGATGGAGAGTAGTTTTAATGCTCTTCTCTTACAGATTTGGTTTTACTCTTCCTTGAATAGAGCTCCCTAAAACCAGCAGTGGAATTCCAGGGACAGCTGAATGGGGCTGGCAGCAGGGGTCCCAGTGAGTCAGGCTGGGGGTGGTGTCCTGTTACCCTCCTTCCTGGGCGCTTTGGTCTGTCCCTCACCAGGAACTGGTTTGTGACAATCACTGCCTGTTAGTTGAGCCAAAGCTTACAGTAGCAAGGACTTTCCCCATGTATAGTATTTTATCTCTCAACCTCTACGTTACTCTGGTACTTCTTCTAAAGAACTGTCATTACAAGCACTTGTATCTCCTCCCACTGGAAGTAGCAGAGAGTTTAGCTAACTGCACATGAAGGATCAAATTCGTACATGTTTTTACATTTAGTAAAAAGGCAAACTCCACTTTTAGGGATGTGACATAGAGGAGTGGTAGCAGAAGTTGCGGTAAATACCTCTGTCTCAGCTAGAGGAGTCTGTACCTTCAGGAAACCTAAAATCTCCAGAGGCTGTTATTTGCTCATTCTTGAGGCAGGGGAGCATAGTGGTTAAGAGCAGATGGTCTGGCACTGCACTGTGAATTTAAAACCTAGCTCTAGCACTTATCACCAAGACCCAGGTAAGCTATTTAAACTCTCTGTGCTTTACTTCCTCATCTGACAGTTGGAAATAATAACTCCAGATAGTCACACATTAATATATGCACAGCATTTAGAATAGTACCTGGCACCTTGTACATGACAATTATTATCTCCTGGTGTAGACAGACAATATTTCCACATCCTACTTAAGATGTGAGGGTTCAACAAATAACATTTTTAGTGGCAGTGGGAAATGCGTGGTTCCTCCTTGTCATTAGCTCTTTGGTTTCAGTCCATCTTTATGAAGACAATTCATGATCTTGTGGTTGGCCCCGACTGTGGACCATAGACAGCACTATGTCCGGTCTCCGTGCGCCATTCTCATCACATACTGCTGACATTCTGTGGCAGGCAAGCCCAGTGCTACACATCACTCTTGTCAAAGGGATGGGAGCTGCCATTATGCCTTCTCCTGTGAGCAGCTTTAAAAAACATTCTCCTAGGAAACAAAACATGTGGTGGCTGCTTGCTTGGAAAGAGTGCAGTACAAGATGTAAGGTGTTCATTTTCTTTGTTTTAAACATAGTTATATTAATAAATATTGGTTAAATGAATGACCCATGACCTTTCTTTGAATGGCGGAAGATGCTTTCATATTTCCACCCTCTGCCAGCCCCACTGTGCCTCTCAGTAGCAAGTTACTCTGTCTCAGATTAGTTAGTGGATCTCATCTATTTTGACATGGTACCACTGTAAGATTCCATATCAACATTCTTATAGCCATTAACTCTCAACTCCATCTTCATCCATACAGCAAAATATATGTAGACCCCACACATTCAAAGACAAATACAATATCATCATGTCTTCTTCTTCCTCTGATTCACATCATGGCATCACAAAAACTGCAGGAGGAGGTAGCATTTTCTCTTTCACTTTGAAAATTGCTTGGACATGGAGAATTGACATTTAACTGAAAAAAAAAAAAAGCCCAAATGCATTAATAGCACAATAATCCTATATTGAACAATGGGAACATAAATGTAATATGTAACACATTTTCTTCCAGTCACAGAAGATCTTATTAGACGGAATGCTGAACACAATGACTGTGTCATTTTTTCCCTGGAGGAACTCTCCTTGCATCAGCAAGAAATAGAAAGACTAGAACACATTGATAAATGGTGCCGGGATTTAAAAATTCTCTATCTTCAAAATAATCTTATTGGGAAAATTGGTAAGTTTCAGTACTTAACTCTCATGGTTTCCTTAACTTGTGAATGAGAGAACTTTGGAAAGCGTAGTGTTATTTTTAGAAGAAGACAATCACTGGAAAAGAATCGCATGGGAAATCAGACACAGCCATCTCTCAGCAATTGTATGGGGGGCATTTCCCTGAACATTTCTGTGTGTAGTGAAAACAATTCCCAGCAAGGAGCTGGGAGAGCAGATAAAGGTGAGGAACACATTACTTGACCTGATCATCTAAAAAGACAGAGCACACATCAAACCTGATTTTTTTTTTTTAAGTTTGAAAGGGAGGAGGCATTTGTCACGGTTTTACATCACACTGCAAAACTAATTTATATAAGAATTGAGGGAGTCCCTGTCAGGTTACTGCAGATTTATTGTATATTTATTGTGACCATATATGTGCAAGGCATTGTGCTCTGTGTTGGGTATTGAGGGGGTTCCAATTAGGAATGAAAATTAGAGGTATATGCAGGAATCAGGTCAATGAAGATAAAAACATCAGCATTAAAACTGATAAAGAAAAGCGACTTAGACTTGCAGCCAAGTGGGCTTGCTAATATTGCCTTTAGAATAAACCTACCCACCCAGTTACATGCAGAATTGGACAACCACAAGTTTCTCCTACCCAGGTGGGTCTTTGCTTTATGTCAGGAAGTAGGTTGAGATCATGTGCTCTCTGCTGGCAGGAAGATCCCAGAAATCAGGAAAGAGGGTGGGACTGGGTATGCTGAGTTTCTTCTCCTGATGAACCTCTCGGATACTTTGGCCTTCCTTCCCTCACCACACGCGACTTCTCCCACAGAATGGTGAATTAAAGGGCAGAGGGAAGGGAGGCCTGTGCAGTTGCTCTAATGGAGGTCCTGCCACATGGAAACAGAAGGACAATCCCCAGCACCCAGAAAGAGAAAGCACAGGCTCTGGCATGAGGTAGACCTGTGTCAGAACACTGCCTCTGCCACCTACCTATTTGCAGTGTGAAATTTCACAAGTCAGTTACTTTGCCCAAGTCTTAGTTTTGCCATCTGTAAAATGGCTAATAATGCCTGATGTCTAAATTGGCATACAGATTACATGAAATGATATGCTTGGTACTTGCTAAATCATAAGTATTCAGTAGTGGATAGCTGCTGTGCTGCTACTGTTATCAATTTGATCATTTGCCCCAGTGTGCTCCAGGCTAGCCAGCTGAAGCTAGGAGCAGAAGGGAGAAGTCAATGGAATTGGAGGAAAAAAGATGGAGTCAGGATTGATGAGGCAGAGAGAGTGCCAACCCCTGTGTGTCCTGGCACGAGAACTCAGAGGTCAGCTTATAGGATTTTATTTTACTTCCCATGGAAATGTGCTGGGGTTCACATCAGGGGGCATTTGGCAATGTCTGGAGATATTTTTGGTTGTCGTATGTGTATGGGAAGATGGGGAGGGGATGCCGTTGGCATCTAGGGTATAGAGGCCAGGAATACTGCAAACAGTCCTACAGTGCACAAGATGCCACCCCCGCCCCCAAGAAAGAATGATCCAACCCAAAATGTTAGTATTGCTGAGGTTGAGAAATGCGGGTGATGTGGTTGCCTGTAGTTTCGTGGATAATTGAAAACTGGCTTCAGGCTTGCAAAAAGCCTAGATTTGCATCATTTTTTAAAGATTTACTAAAATTCTCTGTATTTTTTCAGTTAATTATTTTTGGCATCTTTAACTTGACCAGAAATTAGAAACTCTGGCACATTGTTCAATTAAAAAGGCTATTACAGAAAACCACCAGCTTTTATGCATGGGGGCATCAAAGAACGGTTCTAATTGTACAGATCTAAAAGAGTTCCCAAAATTTTAATCTTCACAGCTGGGTCCATCACAATTACTAATTAGGAGCATGGTATTTCAGTCCTTTTCAGAGCTGCGAGAAAGCTTAAATTTTTGCTTCCAAAGTATTCTTAAATTAAACACCCTTTTAAATCCCAATAATGGGATTTTTCAGTGCTACTCCACCCATAGGCATTTAGGCACTTATTTAGCAAGTAAAACTACTCTAGGATTCAGACTTGCTCTTGTGCCATTGAGGTGGAAATTTGCGAAGCAGTTGCCTTTCCTAAAGCTCTGTTGCCCATGAGAAGACACAGATGGTCTGCTGAGGAAGGCGCTGCTTAGAGGTGACCTAAGAGGGAGCCCAGGCGCCAGGTGGGGTCTTGTCCAGTGCCCCGCCCAGACCTACTGAATCAGAACCTGTGGGCTGCTGGAATCAACCCTTTCAACAGCTTCACAATGGGCTGCATGCCTAGGCCAAGTTGAGAGCCACAGAGCTTCTTAAACCTGAGAAGGGAGAGGGTCTACTCCAAGTTTGTGGGTCTGCTTAGTTGATGGGAACTGTTTGTAGAATGGTTTGGCTGGAACTCAGACTCCCTTTCCACTATCCAAGAGGCTCTTCTATTTTGTCTTACTGAGCTTCACCCCCTTTTCTCTTTCCAAGGTGGGCCCTGTTGTTTTTGAGGAGTTGATTTAGGAAACCCTCCCTGAGCAAGCCTTTATTTTCTATCATATGACTCCTTTAGCATTTAGAGGGTGATGCATGTAACAAAGGGGAGTCCTATTTCAAGCAGGTATTTTATTGTGGGCTGGCCATTTTAGTAATAATAAAGTATTTTTGTTCAGGATATAGACTAGACTCTCCAGTTCTTGGCACACAGAAACCTCCAAATCTGTTGACAATTGAATGCTCAGATGTTTCTAGAGATCCTTTGCAAACATTAGGATTACTTGGAATAATTTAAATTCTGAGACAAACTTCTGTAATTTTTCCCCCAAAATTCTCCTTTTAAATCATGCATAAATTGAAACTCAGAGATGTAAACTGTTATGTTCATGTCTATGGAAACAAATATATGATGTTTTGTAAATTTTAGATTAACTTTTAGAGGTGATAAGGGTGATGATTATAAATCACCATGTTTTTCAGCTTCATCATATCCCTGAGAAATGGGCAGAGGAGGCACTAATTGAGTGAGGCTGCCCCAGTGCACAGTCCTTAGCAGAGTTCTACGTTCCTGTCATCTTAGAAAGAACTGTCCTTTTAAGGTGTACTATAATGATTTAGTTTCAGGTTCTGGAGTGCAATTTCCTGGCTCTCCCACTTAACCTTGGACAAGTAAATTAATTCTCTGTACCTTGGTATTCTGATTTATAAAAAGGAGACGCTCATTTTGACCTCATAGGGTTATTACGAGGATTAGATAAGATAATATATGCAAAATGCTTAGCACATTGTGTGACATATCATAAGCACTCAGCTATGTTTGATATTATTCACTATTTCTCAAGGGCCCCATTCTGCAGGAATTCTGTGACTTGTTTATGCTTGTGGTTTTGCCTGTATGGGCTTTCATATTTATTAAATAAGATAACCCTGTATCAGGTCGATTTGGACTTTAAGTCAAAGAAACCCAACTGAAAGTAGTAGAACAGTAAGGAAATCGATTATCTTACCCAGCTGTAAGTCTGGAGGTAGGGCAGACTCCAGAATCAATCAGGGTTGGTTGATTCCTTCTCTCTGCTCTACCAGCTATCCAGATGTGTCCTGCTGTTGTTTCCCTTATGATTGAGTATAAGAATCAATAGAGATAGTAATTCCTTATTAATATCCCATAGGAAAAAGAGATAAGAACCCCCCAAGCATGGAATATAGATCCTTCCCTTTTATCTGATTAGGAGCACTTGGTTTGCATGTCCTCTCCTGTACTACACAGTTGCCAAGAGACTGCCATGGGCTGTTTGGCTTAAACCTACCTTCCTGAGCCACCACTAGCCAGAGAGATTGGATTGTCACGCACCGGCCCAGTTTGGTTAAACCTACCCCCGCTAGAGTTAGGGCTAGGTAGAGACATGAGCAAAACTGGGTTTCGTTAGGAAGGATGGAGGGAGAAATAGGTCCTCCTTAGACGGCCACCGTGTCTGATGTACAGGTATAGATTTGAAAAAGCAACATAGTTTTGATAAGCATAATAATCTTTAGATTTTCTTTATTATTTTAACAATAGATTACATTAAATTGTGTTTATTTTGAAGATTATCTTGTAATTAATTACATTATCTTATATTTCAGAAAATGTTAGCAAACTCAAGAAACTTGAATATTTGAATTTAGCTTTAAACAACATTGAAAAAATAGAAAACTTGGAAGGTAAGAATGTTTCTTCTGTTATGTTATTATGAATTAAAATTGAGATTTAAAGTTAGATTTAACAGTCTTGTATAAAAATAGGTATGCTTTTAAAATTAATATTTTATATACAACATATAATTATTATTCTTATAAAAATTCAAGCAATAACCGTGATATGTAAATTCAAAAATGGAAGTTACTTTACCCCTTCCTAACCTAGCCTCCTCAGAGGTAGCCAGAATTAACACTTGGGTATATAGAAGGTGGTTTGTTTTATTTTGCTTCCTGTTAATGGTATCATACTATGAGTATTGTTTTGAAAATTAGTTTCTTCCCTAAAATTACCTTGCTTTTTTGATATCCAGGAAAGGGGGCGTGGGGCTACATACTAGAATCATTGTAGACTGATTTATCTAACCATCTGTCTGCAAATGGACATTTGGGTGAGTTCCAGCATTTTGCTATAATAAGCAGAGCTACAGTGAGCCTCCTTCTACATTTTACTTTGTGTTCATGTGCGCAGTTTTTTCTAGGACAGATACTTAGACATGGAATTCCTGCACTGAAATCAGTATATTTTGAAAGATGCTGCCGAATTGTGTCCTAAAATATTCATTGTGTTGATTTGTGCTTACACTAATAATCCTTGTGAGTACCCATTTCTACACAACTTCACTAAAACTTTCTATAAACAATATTTTTTTAAGATAGGAAGATATTTTTGTTTATTTTTATAGTAGCCATCCTATCCTAATAGGTGTGACGTGGTATGTTATTGTGTTTCTGATTTGCATTTACTTAATGACTAATAATGTTGAGAATTTTTTATGTACTTGCTGGTCATTTGAATATCTGCTTTGAAAAAATGTTTATTCTAAACTTTGGTGCATATTTAAATTAGTTATATGTCTTCTTATTGCTAAGTTGTAAAAGTTATGTATATATTCTAGATGCTAGAGTTTCATCGGATTATTTGATTTGCAGATATATTCTTTCAATATGTGGGTTTTCTTTTCAACTTTTGTGATGGTGACGTCTGAGGCACAATTGTTCTTAATTTTGCCTATAGCTTTTTTTTTCCTTATAGTTGTATTTGGTTTTATTATCTGGATAGTAAGGGCCTTTATTGAATGAATTGAGAAGTGCTTCTTATTTGATTTTTTTTCAGAAAGCTTGTAAATGATTTGTTAATTCTTCTTTAAATATTTGTTGGAATACACCAGGAAAGCCATCTAGTCCTGGACTTTTCTTTGGGAAAGCTTATTATTAATTTAATCTCTACTTGTTGTAGGTCTATTCAGATGTTCTGTTTCTTCCTGACTTAGTTTTGGAAGGTTATGTCTTTCTAAAATTCATCTACTTCACTTAGGTTATCTCATTTATTACCATTACAGTTGTTTTTATTACTCCCTTATAATATTTTTCATTTTTTCTTTAAGGTCAATAGTAAAATCTCGTCTTTCATTGCTGATTTGCTAAATTTGAGTGTTCTCTTTTTTTTTCTGATTAATGTGTAGCTAACAGTTTGTCAACTTGGTCAATTTTTTCAAAGAACCAATTTTTGACTTTGTTGATTTTTCCCTATTGTTTTATATTCTCTATTTCGTTTACTTCCATTGTAATGCTTATTATTTCTTTCTCTTTACGTTTTTTTCTTTTTTCTAGTTTCTTAAGGCAGAAAATTAGGTTATTGATTTGAGGTATTCTTTTTCATGGAGGCATAAATAAAATTCTATGAATTTTCCTCTGAGCACTAGTTTTTTGCATCTAAGTTTTGATATGTTGTGCTTTTGTTTTAATTCATCTCAAAGTATTTTCTGATTTCCTTTGTGATTTTTTTCTTTAACCCATTACTTATATAGCAGTATTGTTTAATCTCCACATCTTTGTGATTTCCCCACATTTTCTTATTTTACTTGATACCTAGTTTCATTCCATTGAGGTCAAATAAATATTTTCTTTTCTTTTGACTACTTTAAGCTTATTGAGACATGTTTTATGGCCCAACATTTGATCTATCCTAGAGGCTGTTCATGTACATTTGAGAAGAATGTGCATTCTGCTATTCTTGGGTTTAAGTTCTAAATATGCCTGTTAGGTCTAGCCTTTTGTTTGTTTGTTTCTTTGCCTTAATGTTGTTCTACTCTTCCATTTTCTTGCTGATATTCTGTCTAGTTGTTTTATCAATTATTCAAAGCAGGTTATTGATGTCTCCAATTATTGTTTTGAATTGTCTATAGCTCCCTTCAATAGCATCAGTTTTTGCTTTATATAGTTTGGAACTCTGCTCTTAGGTGCTTATATGTTTATAATTGTGTTATCTTTTTGATGAATTGATGTTATTATTATTATAAAATGTTCTTAGTTGTCTATAATGACAATGTTTGCCTTAAAGTCTTTTTGTTTGGTATTAATATAGTCACTCCAGATCTCTTTTTTTCTTTTTGGTTACCATTTGCATGGTATAACTTTTCCTATCCTTTGCCTTTCCAACTATTTCTATCTTTGAATCGAAAGTGCTTTTCTTTAAACCGCATTTAGATGAATCATGTTTTGATGTTGAATCCATCTTGTCAATCTCTGCCTTTTAACTGAGGAGATTAACCCATTTACTCTTAATGTAATTAACAATAAGATAGAATTTGTATCTGTTATTCACAATGTGTTTTCTATATATCTTATGTCATCTTATGTCTACCTTATTCTGTTTTTGGATTACTGTTTTCATTTTTGTTATTTTTCATGTGTACCATTTTAATTCCCATGTTCTTTCTTTTACTGTATATTTTTGAGTTATTTTCTTAGTGGTTTCCCTGGGAATTACAATTAATATCTTAATTTACAACAATTTAGTTCAAATTAATACCAACTTCCTTTCAATAGTATACAGACTTTGCTCCTATATAGTTTAGTTTCCTTTCCTTTGTTTATGCTCTTGCTGTCACATATCACATATTTATATATTATATGCCCATTAATACAGATTTATAATTATTTCTTTTTGAAGTCATCTTTTAAATAATTTAGGAGAAGAAAATAGGTACAAACAAAAATATATTTATATTGTCTTTTATATTTACCTATACAGTTACCTTTTGTAATTGTTTTTACTTTATCAAATAAATTTGAGTTTCTCCTTAGTGTCTTTTTATTTCAGCCTGAAAGACACTCTTTACTATTTCTTATAGCATAGATGTTAGTGAAAAACTCTCATTTTCATCTATCTAAAAATAATTTATTTCCCAATTTTTAAGGGGAGTTTTCCCAGATTGAGAATTATTTGTCGATAATTACATTTTTACCCTTTTTTCTTTCCTTCCTCCCTTCGTTCTTCTATCTATCCATCCATTTATCTACCTATTATCTTTTCCAATATCTTTATTTTATATTTTTTAATCTCTCCAAGAACTTCTTTCAATTGGATTTTAGTAATATTATACTGCTCTTTTGTGCCTTTTAAATTGTTCTTTTATTTAAATCCATTTTTTTCTTGTTATTATACATTTTAAAATATTTCACCAGATTCAAATTCCAAATAATCATTTTGTTTTCATCTCATTCAATCAAAATAATCATTTGTGTTCATTTTATAGTTCAGTCCATCTGCAATTAACTCTTTATTTTGGCCATACTTTTTATTCTTCTGAACTTACTTCTATGCTCTGATTGCTTCGTTCCTGTGGTGTGTATTTTTATTTTATGGATGAGATATCTTCTAAATATCTTTGGAGATTCTTGTTAGAGCTTTTTCTTGTCAATTTTTTTTATCCCCTGAATTATCTTCTTCATCTGAGATTTTTTGTTTCATTTTGCAGGCTTCTGTCTTGTGCTATTTTTCTCTAAATATCTGGTAACATTTGGTGTCTGATCGTAATCACAAAAGACACGGTGTATTAGGTGGCTTGTGTGACTTACTCTGCAGCTGTGAGGTTCTGCTTGCCTCTCTAGCCTCAGCCTATCTGGCAGAGCCACTGTGCACTCTGTGAGTGGGTGGGACATGCTGACTGGCAGACTTCACTTTAGAGTGCAGGGCCATGGAGCAGAGGCAGGCAAGCTGCTCTGCCCACCCCACTGCCATCTGCTAAAGCTGAAATTAGGAGGACTTTACTTAGGTCATGGTGGATTTTAGCCTATTTGCCTGCTAGAGTAGAAATGGATATTACAGTGACTACCACGATTATTTATTAACAATTATATGAATATGAATCATATGTTTTTATTTTTCATTCTCAAAAATTACCATTGCCAAAGCCCCCAAAACTGCCTGAGTTCTGGGATCAAGAAGATCCTTTTCATCATTGGCATTTTTCTGCATTAGAAATAGAGTCATTGCTCTCTCCCAGCTAACACTTTACAGCCCTGTTCTCCTGTGAACAAATGGAATAAAAAATGTATTCTATGTCCATGTTTTGTGATAATGAAATTTCCATCTAAAATGTCAAAGAAATAATTAAAAACTGGCATTCTTGGCTGGGTTGTCCAGGGTTTGTTAGTTTTGTGAAGTCAGTATTCTTACCCATATGAAAAGTTGTTCGTGTGATTTGTTTTATTTATGTACCACTAGAGGGCAGCATCGTCACTATTGTCTTTTTTAACTTGGTAAACTGCAGGCCAGCCCACCTCCTGCCTTTTACCTGGGCAGGTCTTCTTTTTGTGCTCTGCCTTCCAGCTTTAACACAGGTGAACTGGGTGTAGGGTAGCTTGAAGATTGTTTGGTGAGGGCGGTGGAGGGGCATAGTGAGAATGGAGGATGCATCTTACCGGCTGGCAAATATGTACTTTTGTTTAATTTTAAGGGCTTGAGGTGACAGGAGGAAGATGAAGGTGCACCTTCAGCCCATCTGCTTAAGGAAATCTCAATATGATTTTAAAAATAACTTGTTCTGCTTCTCTACATTTTTTCCTTGGATGGCAATATATATATATATATGGCTAGTATCCTTTTTTCTTTTTCTCCTGTTGAAGATTCACCAGGGTAGAATAAAGTGCTTTTGTTTTCTATTGCTTACCCTAACCTGGAAAGAGAGGTGGAATTTCCCATAACATGAGCTTTCCCACCCTCCTTGGGTGGTCTGTGTTGTTGATTTACATGATTTTTAGAACCCTGAGAGTTCCTGTACTGGATCTCTGCAGAACAGGAGACAGAGGCTGGGTCTCCACTGAAAAAAGCAGTGCCTAACTCCAGAGAGATTTTCTCAAGCTAGGCCAGTTTGGCAAGAAGTGTTCATCTTTAGGATGGCAAAGGTAGTTTAATTTCTTAATTGTAGTCCAAATAGAAGAAACAGTAAGATTTGACACTGAAAATATAATGAACATTTGGAGGGTTCTTTATCTATAAAATTAGAGCAAAATCCAAAGATGTATGACATTTTCACCTCATTGGAGTCTCAAATGTCAGTCTTTTCTTATATGAAAGAAAAATGTAATTAAAATGTCCTCCAGAGCCTCCTAAAGTAAACTTAAGAAATGCCACCTAACCTAAGTCAGATTACCCCAAATATACCTTCCACATTTATAAAATTTATCATTTTTGCCAATGTAAAATAAACATACAAACATACAGATAGAGGCTTAGTTATATTTATAGATATAGTTTTGTACACATCCTTCATATAGTGGCTGAGTCTACTATATAAATTATAATCTGCTATATAAATTATAGTCTACTGTCATTAACAACTGCATTATCAAATTTGTTGATGTATATTGATGTGTTTTAAATGCAACCTTCTTGTTTGGTGCTGGAGCTGTTTTTAATTATGTTTGTTATTATGAATAGAACTGTTCTGAACAGATTTTTATGAGTTACCTCTGTTTCCAGTTGAGATATTTAGTTGGGAACTTTTTTTTTCCCCCAGATACAATTCTAGCAATGGAGGAAAAAAGAATTTAAAGGCCTATTTTATGTATTGATAGATTGGATGCTGAAAGGTATAACTCTTATCTCATAGGTTTACTGATATATATTTTTAATATTAGCCATGTTTTTTATTAATTTAATAGAAAAAATGATTTTGTCCCATTTCACTTATATAATTATATTTGAAGATGTGAAGTTAATGAAAAATCTAGACTATATAAAAGCATTTATTTGTTCTTGTACATTTTGGATATTTATCTTTTGCACAATTAATATTTTTAATATGGTAGCATAATAGTTCAAAAGGTCACAGTGCTATACTTATGTCCCTTGTCAGTGCCCTCAGACCTCTAAGTCCTACTGTATAGGAGTGGCTACTCTAAATTCCCCTTGCTTCCAAGTGTCCAAATAATGTACTCAATATTATGTTTATCTCCAAGTATTGCACTTACATCATACTTGTCTGCTATTCTTTGATCTTCCTATTTGAGATGTCATCTATTGACTTCCAATGCAGAAGATGCAGATTTTGGTCTGTCACACCATTGCAAGGTTCTTAATTTCCTTCTACCCACATCTGTGTATTTTCATATGACATTAACAGGATATCACAATGAAATATGGGATAGGGACCCATTTACAGGGACTGATCTTTTGAATTAATTCTTTTTGGAGGAGATATTACACTCGCTGCTCAACTCCCCCACATCTAATCTCTGGCCTTTCTCATCCCACCTGCCTCCTCCTGCCTTCTTCCAGGCTGGTCTCTCCCTCTCCACCTGCGTCATTAATTCCAGGCAAGGCCGTCCTGGGCCATACCTCTGCTGGGTGGTGACAACCACTGTTACTTATAGACTCTAGTATGTGCTCCACAGAATTGTGGCATGAGAATTTTAAGAGAAGATGATGATGGTATTTTAATAATAAATAGCTAACATTGGCAAAGAGACTCTCTAGCACAGGGGTCCCCAACCCCTGGGCAGAGGACCAATAGGTGTCTGTGGCCTCTTAGGAACCAGAGGCACAGCAGGAGGGGAGCAGTGGGCCCAGAGAGCGCTAGTGCCTGAGCTCTGCCTCCTGTGTGCTAAGTTAGATTCTTATAGGTGAGGAGCCCTATTGGGAACTGATCAGGCGAGGGACATGGGTTGTGTGCGCTTACCATGAGAATGTAACTAATGCCTGATGATCTGAAGTGAAACAGTTTCATCCTGAAACCATCCCACCCGCTGTCCATGGAAAAACTGTCTTCCATGGGACCAGTCCCTGGTGCAAAAAGGTTGGAGACTGCTGCTCTAATGTACCAGTTCAGAGAATCTTCTCAGGTAGGCCAACCTGGGTCCAAATCCCAACTCATCCATTTAGAGCCGTGTAAACTTTGGTAATTTCCCAGCTCATTTGCATTGCAGTTTCAAGTATCCACTGCCAGACAGATCCCAGAAGCAGCCGTTGCTGGAGGATCCCCTTCCAAGATGGTTGCTTCAGTTGCCATCTGGCACTGCTTCTTGGTGTGTTTCTTTCCACAGAAGCAGATTTTGTTCTCCCTCACTGCTTTTACGATTCTCCAGGTGGCTCAGGGTCTCTGAGCACGGTGGAGTGAAGGTAGCCAGACACTTGATCTGGCTTCTGACATGTCCTAGAGCAATTGTTCTTCAGGCAATCCTTCCAATGTGAGAATTTCAGATGTCTAGGCAGCTCCAAAACCTCACTGGTGCTGCAGTCTGTTGGTCAGGCCAGTCATTAGGGCCAGCCCCAACGCAGAGCAAAGGAGAAGGACTTGATGCCATCTCTCCATGAGAAATGGCGTGAGTGCACATGATGGTGGGCATCTCAGACCCAAGGGCCCGCACTGAGCTATCTGACCTTAAAATAAAGGTAATAATTGTGATATTTCTCTCATAGACATGATGTTAGGATTGAATAAGATACTGAGTATAAGGGGCATAATAAATATCAAATAAATATTAGCCATGTAGTTTATAAGCATATCTTGTACCTGGAGCATACTTATGACATTTGAGAAAACTATGCTAACATATCTTAGCTTTCTATCAGTTTCATGTATTTTCTCTATTTGTACACTGTTAAATCTCAAATATAACCATGTGTCAAAATTGTAAGAAACAGAATGATGTTTAATCTTAATTCTACCATTGCTATTATCATTTTGCTGTATTAATTTTTTTCTGTATTTTATATTGTTGTAATTTTAGTGTATGGGTGATGTTATATCTTACTTTTTCCACTTTCTTTATATCGTAAACTCTCCCCCTCCATGCTGTGATAGTTTTCATAACCATCATTTTGAATGTTCTTATAGCATTAAATATTGAATAGATGTATTAGAGTTTGCTTGACCGTTTTTCTACATGTGCTTATTTATTTTATGCCATGTAATTATATTTACTAGAATTTAATGTCCAACTATAATAGTCACCTACACTCTGTCGTGTCAATTCCATTTTTCCCTCCCTTGCTCAATTTTCTTCAAAGTTGTTTTTCCTTTAGTTTTCACCTGAGCCAACTGAATTTCTTATTTAATATTTAATGTTATAAGAACATTTAAATAGAGAAAATACACAAATCATAACTGAAGAGCATGTAGAATTTTGAAGAAATAAGTGAGAGCAAGGTAGACCTGGGCTATTAGCTGGCGATGGCTTTCTAGACATTGAAGGTTGCAAAATCTGCCATGTTAATCCCACAAACATGAAGCAGTCATAGGGAGAGATAATCTTATATTGAACCAAGCTCACAAAGGCTGCTACATAAACTGGGTCAACTCTTCTTAGTTCACAGAAAGAAACTGTAAGGTTTCTGCTCATGAGACAGCTGTACTTGCTTCTTTCCCTGCAGGTACATTGTCCACAAAGTCCTCTGATAATTAGAGGGCTCATTGAGCTATTCTAATCATCATGTTTACTGACACTCTAGGTGGCAAGCTTTATGCTAAGCGCTTTATATGAGTCATCTTATTATCTTCACAACTTCGGACTCCAGTACTAATACTATTATCATTCTATAGATGAGGAGGCTGAAGCTTGTAACTTATCCAAGGTCACATTAGCAAAGATGAGGTAGAGGAGGCACTTGAACTCGTATCTGTCTAATTCCTGAGTCTGGACTCCTATCCACCAAATTCGCATGAAATGTGAATGAGGGGATTAATTCAAATTCAAATTTGAATTTGATTCAGGTTTCTTTAGCATCTGGCTGGCTATCTCTGTCATGAAGGTGGATGGGTCAGACTTACTATAAAACCCTATTTCAGTGACTCACCCTTTTTCTCTTATCCCTTTGAACATCAACGCATCCTGTTCTTTACCTTTGTTAAAACCTTCCGTTCAGTTCTCAGTGGCCTTGGAGCCATTCTCTCTCTGCTCGGTGACTTTGCAAATACTGGTTCTGATGCACTGCTTTTATGACATGCCTCTCTTTCTGGAGAAACTTTTCGCTATCACCCTCCAAGATGGAATGTGTCCTGCCAACCTGCTAAAACTCAGGAGGACAGCTTCCAGGTGCCCTGCCTAGCAGGAGTTTTGTTCTGAGGCAGCGCCCACTGTAGTCACAGCTTGTACTCTTGCTTTTTTTCGTGCCAGATAGTGACCAGATCAAAACATTAACAAGCCTTGCAAATGTGAGCAGGGAAAATTATTTCCCCTGGCTGGAAGGACTCAGGGGGTGAAAATAAGGGGAGACAGAGATAGAAAAATGAGTTAAGATGAAGCCTTTGAGTTGATATTTCTGAAGAATCACTTCATGGTAAGCAGCGCAATAAATCAGCAGACTAAAAATACTACAACTGTTACTTCCATTATGTGCTATTACACACAGTTTATTACCACTGTGATTTTTCTTTCTTTGCTTTGTTTTCTTTTTATTTTTCTCAACAGGATGTGAAGAACTGGCAAAACTTGACTTGACTGTAAATTTCATTGGAGAGCTGAGCAGCATTAAAACCTTGAAGCACAATATCCATCTGAAGGAACTCTTTCTCATGGGGAACCCATGTGCTACCTTTAACCACTATAGGGAGTTTGTGGTAGCAACTCTTCCACAATTAAAGGTATGGTTATTTTAATGGCACAGAAATCACGGAGAAATGAACATGAGCGATTGCAGTAACTCCTGCTTTACTTGCAACTACAGTGAATGTGTTGCTTCAGATAATGGAATATTCCAGAGAGCCCAAAGTAATTATTTAAATGGCTAGACCTTTAATATTGTTTGAATGGTTTTAATAAATATTAAATTGCATACTTTTCACCTTTCTCATCCGAAACACACAGAACTTCATTTGACTTTTTCTCAGTGAGTTCAAATCACAGTTACACAGAAGATTCATCATTACTGATTAGAATTCATTATTACTTAGAGCAAGCCAAAAGTTTAAGGTTTTAGAGGTAGCTACAGCTATGTATCTTTGTATTACATAGTCTTAAGCTACTGTGCTTTTATAATTATTATTTTTATTGTTGCTTTTTCTTAACATATTCTCTATAGCAGTAGCTCACATTCTTTTTTTATTTTTATTTTGAGAAGGAGTTTTGCTCTTGTTCTCTTGTTGCCCAGGCTGGAGTGCAATGGGATGATTTCAGCTCACTGCAACCTCCGCCTCCCGGGTTCAAGTGATTCTCCTGCCTCAGCTTCCCAAGTAGCTGGGATTATAGGCACATGCCACCATACCAGGCTAATTTTATATTTTTAGTAAAGACAAGGTTTCACCACCTTGGCCAGGCTGGTCCTGAACTCCTGACCCCAAGTTATCCACTCACCTCAGCCTCCCAAAGTACTTGGATTACAGGCTTGAGCCACCATGCCCCGCAGGTTCACTGTCTTTGGTGTGCCTCAGAACATGTGGAGGCCTATTCAAAACACACACTGCTGTGCTCTTCCCCCAGGGTTCTGGGTCATGTCTGACATGGGGCCTGAGATTTCACATTTCTAACAAAATCTGGTAATGCTGCTGCTGGTGCAGGGGCCTCATTTGGCAACCACTGCTGTGTATGCTCTTATCCATATCCCCCCAATTAAATAATTTTAGAACTGAGGAAAAAAATATGATTTCTTGAGAAATCATACAACAGAGAATATTAGAACAGCATTGTTAAGTTTCATATAATTCTAAGAGTTCCCAGCCTGCGTGTGGTTCTGTGTTTTTGCAAAGAGAATGCATGGAGACATCACCTTTGCAACAGGCATTTTTTCAGTTTTCAAAGGACATTTGTTTCTTAGCCTTCTGTGTTCTCTGTAGTCAACAGACTGCTGACTGCTGGATTAATGAAACACATTTCTTCTAATGTAAAATTTCTCAGGTTAAGAGAATGAGTGATTCTGGTAATTGAATATAGAATAAATGATAAATTGTCTCAAATGTAACCTAAACTGATCATTATTATGCAGTGATTTCCTAGAAAATGAACTGGTGAGAACGGATCATAGAACCAGATCTTGTAGTGTAATGCTGTGAGCTATTCCCTTGGGAGGGATAAGGGTCCAGTATTTCTCGTGGCTGCTGCAGCTGAACCTGTGCCAGTATTGCAGTGAGCAGGCTAGAGGTATGAGAGCCATCACATGGCTGATGCAGGCAGGGTCAGAGGTGGTGCCATGAGGCGCTTTGTGCACAGTATTTCTGATCCTCCCAGACCCATGCAGGGGGACAGATGTGTTCAGAGATGAGGAAGTCAGGGCTCGGGGAATTAATGCTGCTTGTTTAAGCTGACACATCTGGCAAGGGACACAGATGGGATTTGAACCTATGTGAGTCCAACCTTGATACCTCCACCATTCATACTATACCCACACTCACTGCTTCTCTTTAGGTCAAATTACAGACTTTGGATCAAGTCTTGCTTTTCAGAAGGACTTCTCCAAATCAACAGCCCCCTTTTGAAAATAGTATTAACATATTTACTAATATTTAAAAATAGGCTGATATACTTTAGACTCTTAATTGCCATTTCATTGAAAGCTGAGCTTCTTGAAAGGAATTGTGTTAATAAATGTATTATTTTCTCAGGGTTGATGTAACAAAGTACCACAGACTAGAGCCTTAAACAACAGAAATGTACCATCGTGTAGTTCTGAAGGCCTGACGTTCAAGTTCAAGATGTTGACAGGGTTGGTTCCTTCCAAGGGCTTTGAGAGAGAATCTGTTCCATACCTCTCTCCTAGCTTCTGGTGATTTGCCAGCCAGTCTTTGGCATTCTTGAGCTTGTAGACACGTCACCCTAAGGGTCTCTGCCTTCATCTTTACAAGGCTCTCTTTATAAAGACCCTGGTCATATTTAATTGGGGCCTGCCAGCTTTAGGATGATTTGGTCTCGATGAATCACATCGATAATCACCCTGTTTCCAAAAAGTCCATGATTTGAGCTACTAGGGATTAGGGCTTCAACATCTTTTTTTTTGTCGGGAGTCCCAATTCAACCCATCACAACAGAGTAGTTATTTTAGATAGTCACATAGAAGAGGTGTGAGGAGAGTCAGGAGAGTCAGCCCTTTTCGAGGATTTTTTTCCCAGTCGCTGAGCCACCACAGGAGCAGGTAGGCCCTGCAGTATGGTGTGAAACAGATTTGTTAGCAGAGAAACCAGGGTCTGATGGCTACTTCCACAGCCTGTGAATTGCATGCCTCAGTTTACTCATGTATAGTGGGATCATCATTACTACTTTAAGTGAGTTCTATAAGGCCTTCAGTACATCTTAGTGTCCCTTTCTCAGCTTCAGCACTTCCACAGTTATTATGAATAAGCGTGAATACTCCACCTTTGTGCTGCATAAATCCTGAGTGAAGAAAGATGAAGAAATGCTCAGCTTAAAACTTAATCTCTGGGGCTGGGTGTGGTGGCTCATGCTTTTAATCCCAGTACTTTGGGAGGCGGAGGCGGGCAGATCACCTGAGATCAGGAGATCAAGACCATCCTGACAAACATGGTGAAAACCAGTCTCTAGTAAAAATGCAAAAATTAGCTGGGTGTGGTGGCACCCACCTGTAATCCCAGCTACTCAGGAGGCTGAAGCAGAATGGCTTGAATCCAGGAGGCGGAGGTTACAGTGAGCTGAGGTCGCACCACTGAATTCCAGCCTGGTGACAGAGCAAGACTCTGTCTCAAAAAAAAAAAAAAAAAAAAAAAAACAACAACTTAATCTCTGTTTCTTAGGCCTTCTAAACTCAGATGTAATTTTGGCTTTAAGGAAATGTGGGCCAATTTCAAAGACTAACAGAAATCACTAGAAGAGTTAGATTGCTAGAATAGGTGCTGGCGTACAGTCCCAAGTTTGTCATCAGTTACTAATATGAGGTCTTTTGCCTCCTGTTAGTAAAGTGACCGAGGGTTCAGTTGTCATAGCCTCCTAGGAATGGTAGTTCTAATTAAATCAATATACACCATGGAATACTATGCAGCCATAAAAAACGATGAGTTTGTGTTGTGTCCTTTGTAGGGACATAAATGAACCGGGAAACCATCATTCTCAGCAAACTGACACAAGAACAGAAAATCAAACACCACATGTTCTCACTCATAGGCAGGTGTTGAACAATGAGAACACATGGACACGGGGAGGGGAGCATCACACACTGGGGTCTGTTGGAGGGAAATAGGGGAGGGACAGTGGTGGGTGGGGAGTTGGGGAGAAATAGCATAGGGAGAAATGCCAGATATAGGTGATGGGGAGGAAGGCAGCAAATCACACTGCCACGTGTGTACCTGTGCAACAATCTTGAATGTTTTTCACATGTACCCCAAAACCTAAAATGCAATAAAAAATAATAAAATAAAATAAATCAATATTGGCTTAAACCAATTATAAAGACAGAAATCAATCAATCAATGAATGTACTTCAATTACAAGGAAGAAAATATCACCTTGCTCCCCAATGTTCTGTTGGGAAGAAATTCCAGTTGAAAGAAATTGTATTTATTCAGAGTTTTCTAACTTGTTATAATAATACAGTTTTATATAGTGCATTTTTGTTAATATATATTTATATATAAATTATACTATATAAAGTAATATAATGAAGTACCACAAATTGGATGCCTTAGAAATTTATGAAAGTAATATATTATATGGTATTATTCATATATAAATATATTTTAATTTGTTTATTCATATATTTATATATAGTATATTTACTTATTAGATGTACTTACAAAATAAGTACATTTCATTCATCCAAAATTTTCCAAATTGATTCAGTCCCCACCCTGTATTAAAGTAGATCAGATTAAGTATGTGGACCACAATTACTTAACACCTTAAATAATAGGTTTTATTGAATTGAATTTTATCATTGCAGTCATACATAATACATAATGGTATGAAGATACCTTTATTGAAGGATACTACAAGAAACAGCCTTATGAAATCTGTGATTGTATGGACATATTTCTGCAGAAACAATGCTTGACACCTCTCAAGATCTCCATTATGAAACTCTATGCTAGAAATGTGTTTTAGAGCTACATGTTAGAGAAAAGCTGCAACTGTATTTTTTCCTCAAGGAACATGAAAATTTTGTAACTAATTTTGTTTTTCTATTTCACTTTGGCTGCCAAGAAGCTCAGAACCAAATCTGCAGCCCATCTATAGCAACCATATGAGTTCTTATGACCAAAGCATATTTGGAATTATTTTTTCTAAATCTCCACGTAATTTTGACTTATAATTTAGCTGATCCCAATAATTTTTTAATTTATATTTTACTAAATCTTTGTGTGTAGTTTTTTTCCTTTTATATGTTTCCTATTACTGCTGCAACAAATTGAGGCAAACTTAGTGACTTAAAATCATACAGATGTATTACCTTATGGTTCTAAAGATCAAAAGCCTGAAATGGTTTCACTGGGCTAAAATCAAGGTGTTGGCAAGGCTATTCTTTCTTCAGGCTCGAGGAGAGAATCCCTTACTTTGCCCCTTTCAGCTTCTAGAGGGCACGTGCATTTTTAGGCTCCTGGCCTCTTCCTCCATCTCCAAAGCCATCTTCACATCTCTCCCTAACTCTGACACTCATGCCTTTCTCTTTTACTTATAAGGACCTCAGTGATCCTTATGAGAATCACCCTGACTATCCAGCATTCTTAACCTAATCATACCTGTAAGCCCATTTTGCCATGTAAGGTAACATTCGTGGAGATTAGAACATGGACATTCTTGGGGAACCATTATCTTCCAACCACACCTTCCTAAATACCTTGCCTCGTTTCACAGAATAAGGCTGAGTAGATAAATAGGTGTCTTTAAACTGTTAGTTTTAACATTTTAGACTTTAGTTGATGGTTTTATTTTAATATTTTACTTTGGAAAATCATAATTGAAATGTCAGATGTAAGCAATGCTATAACAGTAGCCTGTTTGTCTGGTTGTTAAAGGTGAAACATGGGCTCATTTGTATTAGAACCCAATCATGTGTAATATTCAAGGCCATTTTTTTTCTGTAGAGAGCTTCTGGGAAGTGTCATTGTTATACTCTGAAGCTATGATTTGACTTAAGCATTGACATTTTTGACATAGTGAGCAGTTATAAAATGAACATAAAATATTTTGAGAGCTTATATTATCAGTTTTGACAGAAGATCTAGTTATTATTACCAGTAAAGATATTTTTTAAACTGTGTTAATTGTATAAAAGAACATTGATTTAGACCAAAGTTCTGATATTTCCCATTAATTACATTGTTTTAATTTTCTATCACTGTGGAAAGTTCTAATCAAAATCAACCTGGGGCTGATTCACACTGCAACTTTTGAACAACTGTACTATATTTATTCTTCTTTGTTTAAGTGGTTGGATGGTAAAGAAATAGAGCCTTCAGAAAGGATTAAGGCATTGCAGGACTATTCGGTAATTGAACCACAAATCAGAGAGCAGGAAAAAGATCACTGTCTCAAAAGATCCAAACTCAAGGAAGAGGCTCAGAGGAAGCACCAAGAAGAGGATAAAAATGAAGACGAGAGAAGTAACCCAGGCTCTGACGGACATTGGTACACGGACATCAATGCTACTCTGTATGTAAATGATTAGTTTACTTTCTATTTAACTTTTGTTAAAAGCAGCAAACTGTGTTCTTTTTCCAAGCTGTTTGTAGTACATGTATATTCCAGATTAATTTGAAGAATAAAATATGATGTGAATTTTGGATGGAAGAATATGAGCATCTCATTGCTTGTGACAATTCTGTAAGACTGTCTTTCCTTGGGGGAAAAATGCCTTTTTAAACTAGCAATTTTAATTTGCATCTAAAATTATTCTCAGAGAAATCTCCATAAAATATATACAGAAAAGATGAATTAATAGGTGTACTTCGATTTACCAACTAGGAATATTTTAGAAAAGTTAAATACAAATCACATTATTATAAATTGAATAATTCTAATTGCATCATAAAACATTCTAGTTTCTGAATTATATACTGAATGCATTTTTAATGTGATTAATAATTCTCTAATTGGTTTTTTAAACAAATTACAATGTTCATGTTTGTTTAAGTTAATTGGAACTATGGTCAGTTGATATGATTCCACACAGTGAAAGTGTTAAGTATTTAGATACAGAATCCTTTAAAATTAAGAAAATAATAATTATAAAATATTTCAGGCATACACAAATATTTGAAAATAGTTATATAGGCAGCTTGTAGTTATACCAACTAGCTTTAATCAGTGACAGTAGTTTGCGTGTTTGCTTTGGATCGTTTTAAAATAAGAAATAAAATACCGTTAAGAGAGTAGAAGCTCCTTAAGTACTTCCCCTTCCTTCCATTTCTGTCTTTATCCCAGTGGCATCTGCTATCCTGAAGCTGGGACATATCTGATATATGTTGCTCCCATCCATATTTTTAATACCTTTATTTCACAAGTATGCCTTCTTAAACAAGAGTAGTTTGAGTATGTGCTTAGCATGAATAATATCTCTCTATAGCTTAGCTTTTCATGCAACATTATGTTTTTGAGATTTATGCATATGAGGACAAGTAGAACTAATTCATTTTAAATATAGAATAATATCCTGTTGGATGAATGAATTACAATTTATTCCAGAGGTCATATTCAAAATAGTTAATAGCCGGTGTTTCACTTGCCCTGACTAATCAGAGTGTGCAGCCGCTCTGACAACACGTGTGGCCCTCCTAGTGGTGCCAGCTGGTCAGCCTGGACACTGCCATCCCTCTTTGGATGGCCATGCACGTTGTTTTCCCTATTCTCTTGAGAATAGAATCTCTTGGAAGTGGCATCACAGTCTGCCTTGGCCAGGGTTGTGTCTCTGGTGCCTGGCACAGCAGAAGATGCCCAATAAATATTTCTTGAATCCACGTTGAACATTTGTTAAGATGTTCAAGCAATGTTGCCCATGTCTCCTTGTTGAGGTATGAAGGTTTCTCTAGGGTATGTGGTAATGGCATTGCTACAACAGTTTTGACATCTTTTCAGCTTTGTATGTATTGTCAAATTGTGTGCTAGAGTAGTTGTAATAATTTTTACTCATATATCAACAATATACAAGAGTTTTCCATCTTTGCCAGTACCAGATAATATGTGTTTAAAAATATTGGCCAATCAAGTTTGTTATTAAGTATCCTCTATTTTTTAAAATTGAATTTTCATTTCTGTAGTTACTAGTGAATTTAAATATTTTAAATATTGTCTTATATGTTTATTGATTATTCAGATATCCTCTATTCGATTCCCCCACTTATTTTAAATAGGTTAAGTCTTTTTGTTATTGATGGTTCTTTTATATTCTGGATACAAATATAAAAAATATATTCATTGGTGGTTATGTGCTTTGTAAGTATCGTCTCCTAGTCTGTGACTTGTTTTAATTATAAGAGCTTCTTATGTTTTATAAAATTTAAAAATATTAATATAGTTAAACTTATTTGTACATTTTCATCTTGTTTATGGAATTCTTTATCCCAGTGCCATATCTGTTTGTAGCTCTGTATCTGGAACTAACCTTTGTCAATATATAGGGTAGGGTACTAATTTTCATATGGGTAGCTAATTGTCTCTGTACCCTTCATTAAGGTGCTGTTCTTTTCCCTCTGATTCAAAGTCCCACCCTTACTGTATCCCTTCTAACCGTGTATTCCTGGGTTCATCTCTGAGTTCCCTAGACTGTTCCATGGGAGCACTTCTACCTGGTTTTAATTTGTATAGATTTATAGCATATGATGATATTTGGTAGGAGATATTCTCATTTTTCAAAGTTATCTTGGCTATTTTTAGTTCTTTACTTGTCTGTATGAGTTTTAGAATCCAATGCTAATCAAATTCCTTAAAAATCCCTAGTGTAATTTTGACTGAAATTGCATTTAATTAATATGTTAATTGGGGAAAAGTTGACATCTTCATGGCATTGATTCTTTCCTTGCTAAACTTTGGAAGCACTCTATTGAGATCTTCTTCTGAGTCCTTCAATAAAGTTTTAAATTTCCACTATAAAAGTCTTAAACCATCTTTCTTTGTATTAATTTCTCAGTATCTTGTAGAATGAGTTTTTAAAAACAGATGTAATTGCTTTTTCTGACATTTAAAGAGACAAATTATTTCTGTATGCTGATATTGTATTAATCTTGCTGACCTTTATAAAAGATGCAATCCTGCATTTTCTAGGTAGAAAAACATTGTTTGTAAGCAGTAACTTGAACATTTTCCAATCCCTCTCTTTCTACTTTATTTTCTTCATGGTGCCTGCAGAGGCCTCTAGAATGGGGTGTAATAGTAGCATTAAGAATGGGTATCTGTATCTTGTTTCTGACTTAAATAGAATGTTTGCAATTTCTCATTATTAAGTATAATATTTGCTGTAAGTGTTTGGGTCATGTTAAGTAAGCTTCCTTCTATTCCTAGTTGATGAAAAGCTTTTATCATCACATGCATTATATCGGATTTTTATTAAATACTTTCCCTGAATCTATTGAGATAATAGTGTTTTTCTATTACTGTGTTAAATTAATCGATTTTATAAAATTAAACCATCCTTGAATTTCTAGGATAAATATTCTTTATGATAATTTACTAATGCATTGCTGCACTGATTTTGCTAATATTTATACTATTCGAACCTGTGTTCATAAGTGAGTTTATGCTATAATAACCTTTTCTCATTGTATTTTTTCCTGGTGTTTTGCATCAAAGTTATATAATAGGCACATAAAATATCTTGGGAATAATTCACTATCCTTGGTTTATGAAAGTTTACAAAAGTTAAAATGATCTGTTCCTTGTATATTAGTAGAGGCTTACAGTGGGGTTTCTCGCAGGTACCTTCTTGCCTCCCCCATAGGCCTGGCTGACCCTTGAGCCTTTGCCACTCTTACCCTATTTAGCCTATTCGAATAGAAATGTAGACATTCTGGAGGAGAATCATTGAAATACTGAATTGTCGAATTAGTTGGGAAGAAGTAGGAGGCTATTCCCCTCTCAGGACTGAAAGAAAAAACACTACAGAGAATCAGAGGCTGCAAGAAAGCAAGATGAACCTCTACCTCTTGACTAGGTAGAGCCTGCCTCCAGCCTAGAAAATTGGCAAGATAGAAAGTGGCCTGGAGCAGAGGAATCAGGAAAGAAGGTACTAATGGAAGCAGCTTACACTTTAAGCATTTCACACGGCAAGGATTTGTGAATCTCTTACAGGCCAAGTAGACATGGTAGAAGGAGCTGGGCTTGAGCTGTCTTGAAGAGATGCATATTGACCCCCTCAACAGTGAACAGTACACTTGGAAGGCTCTTGTTGTATCACCAAGAATGACACAGGTGCTCGCAGGAAGGGAGGCCAGTATCTGGATATTGGTCCCAGCCAGGGTAGCAATGGCCAGGTTATAATAGGAGTGGTCATATAAAAGATGTTCTTCTCTTTCTTCATCATCCCATGCCCCAAATTCTAAAGGCAGGAAGCCTCTGAACCTAAGAGGCCTGGTGGTATGGGATTCAGAGGAAGGAATGGAGGACAGTGAGAAGTAGGAGAGGGTGTCCCTCTTCCCATTCACACCCCAAACTGGAACAGGGCCAGGAGAGAGAAGGGGTTGGAGAGGGAGGGAATGGCTCTGATTTGATATTAAGGTCTGAACTTTTATTCAAACTGTAGACCCTTTAGTACCTGAAAGTGAGTGTTTAGCTGAGATTATGCTGTTCTTGAAAGTGACGATAGAGCTGTGGGATCTGCTTGTGGATGAGAAGAGAGTTCTGAGAGAGCAGATTTGAGGGCAGTGGTTGAAGAGAAAGTTTTTTTGATCCTACACTAATGAGCTCACTCTGTTTCATAACCAGTTATACACATTTATATGCATTTTGCTTTGGAGACTTATGTTATTTAGCTCATATCTCTGATAGTTTTTCTTAAGCACTGTCATTTTTATGTTTATTATAATTATTGTTTTAGATTGCAAAAGGCCGGATTGAACCAATAAGTCACTTTCCAGGAAAAATATAGTTTAAATGATTAAATAAGAATGGAACCAATTGTTTCAGTGGCAATTACCTAGAATATTGTAGAATATTATAGATCCCCTTTATAATTATTCTTTCAGTGCCATAAAGAACTATAGCTATATAGCAAGCAATTTATTTATTTTCAGAAATTTGCATTATTTTGCTTATTAAAATATTTAATTGTATTGTATCTATAATACAATTTTGAATTTGTACAGAGAAATACAGAATTTTGCTCTATGTTCTATTTATGCTATTTAAATTTCATGTTCTAGTATTTTGGTTCATCCCTTTGAAAAATATCTCACAATATTTTCAAAATAAAATATATTTGAAAATATTTTTTCAAAATGAATAAAATATCTTTAGTTTGAAGATCAACAAGAAAGAAGCCTTTCCTGTCACCTGATTCAATAACAAAACCCAACATGTATTGAGTACTTACTATTTGCTATAGTTGGTATCAAAGGATTTATGTAATTTGTTTCATTTATCTAATGAAGTGTCTATTCTAAGGAGAGGTGAGGGGAGAGAGACTGTACCTAATGTTTATTTCTTGAATGATGTCATTCTCTTGCCACAAGAACAGAATCTTCTGAAAGTAGAATCATGCTCTATCTTGGCCAGGGTTTTATCTCTGCTACCTGGCACCACAGAAGATGCTCAGTAAATATTTCTTGGATCCATGTTGAACAAATGTTGAATATCTCATCTAATACCCATTTGATGACATACAGAGATATTGTTTAATTCTCTGATAGTCCACAAAACATGAATAAAAGAGAAGAGAGAACTGTTACCATATAAAGCCACATAATCAGAAGTTATCCATGAAAAATAAAGTAGGCATAAGCTATACCATAAAAAGTATCATATGTCCCACAAGCCAATTTGGGAGATAAGAGTATCATTAAAAACCTGGAAATAATGTGATCCAAATTGCCTACTAGAAAAGTCCCTCTGGGAGTAGAGTAGTGTGGAGAGTGTAATTGACAGGTATAAGATTAAAGGTGGGGTGATTGCTTGTCTGATCATCAGAATCTCCTACAAAATATTATAAAACACAGATTTCTAGGCTCTACTTCGGCCTACCAAACAGACTTTCTGATGAGAGCCCAGGAATCTGTACTTTTATAAAGCTCCCCAGGTGACCCTTAGCAGTCACATCTGTGAACCCTGGAATCTGATGGCCACATTGTTCCTGGTGGTAGAGGACGAAAGCCTACCCTGATGCTGTGGCAGTAATTTCCTCCAACCAGGCTTGAATAGACTGTCTTTCGGAGTCACTTTGTCATTCAAAGGTAAAAAATGTAGGACTGGGCACAGGGCTCATGCCTGTGATGCCAGCACTTTGGGAGGCTGAGACTGGCGGATCACAAGGTCAGGAGTTCAAGGCCAGCCTGGCCAATATGGTGAAACCCTGTCTCTACTACAAATACAAAAATTTGACGGGTGTGGTGCTGTGTGCCTATAGTTCCAGCTACTCGGGATGCTGAGGCAGAAGAATCGCTTGAACCCAGGAGGTGGAGTTTGCAGTGAGCCGAGATCGTGCCACTGCACTCCAGCATGGGTGACAAAGTGAGAGAAAAGTACATAGATTATTAAAGGGACAACATTAAGGATGAAGCTCATGAATCCCTTATTGTTCTTAAGTGCTCTATTTGTTTTTCCTAGTTCCTCTTTAGAGAGCAAAGACCACCTACAGGCACCAGACATGCAGGAATACAACACAAAGAAATTAGACGAAAGTGAAGATGATTTGGAATTCTGGAATAAGCCGTGTTTGTTCACTCCTGAATCAAGATTGGAAACACTTAGACACATGGAAAAACAACGGAAAAATCAGGAAAAATTAAGGTATTTCATTTTTTCCTATGAGAGGGAGACAGTACTCAACTTATGGACTAGATTTTCATGATTGCCCATTATTTGTGTTAAACCTTTAACACTCATATGTAGATATTGTTTTTTCCAAGTATAGCTTCTTATTGAATTGGATTGGCTAAAACTCATTAATTTCAAAGTATTGTCTTTAGAACATCATGAATTATGACATTTTAGGTAGAGGTTTGTTTGAATGTTTTTACCTTTTTACCACTTTAAATATACCTAATAATAGTATATTAGGGTACACTAATACATTAGTATTTCTGGCCTAGAAAAAGGTCATTTTGTGGAATGAATGGGCTCCCTTTTGAGTCTGTTCTATTAATTTACAAAGTGAAGAAATGGAAATTAGTTTCATTAGACATTTTATTTTCCTAATATAACTTTTTTGGACATTTAACAGCATGATTTCACTTTTGAGTTGTTTAGATATAATTTGATGATTTATTAGAAGCTAAGATTTTTATGCTATTATTTTCAGAGTAGCTTTTTCAAAAATAGATTTTATATCATTCCATTTCATGTCATTGCTTAAGTCTAATATGTAAAATATATCACTTATGGGAATACTTACTATTCATGAGCTTGAGAATGTGATGAATTAGCCCTGAAATGTAGTAATCTGCATGGCAATGACTCAAATGAAACAAAACACAGTATCTCTCCCTGTAATTAACAAGTAAAAGCAAGAGACTAGAAGTTAAAAAAAAAAAAAAGATTTGAAATCTCAGCTGCTTTTTAAAAATTTTCATTAGTTAGAAGTATAGAAAGGTAAAACAATCAAAAGTCAAATTTTATCTAAAATACTTGTTTGTAAAACGTTGTGATTTATACACTAAGGGACCACACGGTCCTTTGAGAAAAGTATTGAATAAGATTAGATATGCATGTCTTGACTCCACTGTTACCCTCTGTATGATGTTGGCAAGTACCTACCTTCTCATCTGTTTCTTCATCTGCTAAACAGGGATTATCATACCTGTCTTACCCGCCCCACTGTACTGCTAAGAAAATCTGATAAGCTTATACATGTGAAAGTACTTTGAAATGGAAGTTCTACATGTTTATAGAATGCAAAATATTTCATACATATATACCCATACACACATATGTTATATTTATATATCTGTGGGTATATATACAATATCTAATCTATTATATATTGAGCCTGAAATCAGGAGAAATTTTTTTACTCCCTGACACCTAAGAAAGTAAGGCTGAATTGGATGGAGATCTGAGTCCCTCTGTTTTAGACACCTTAGTTTGCCCAATCCAGTGGGTTCCTGAGATGTTTGCCTCTGATTGTCTTGCCATTTTTACTAACCGGATGTAAGCAGAGACAAGAGAAATCTTCTCTTCCTAACTGTGATCTGCTTTACACCGAGTAGAGTGAATCCAAGGACTTGTGGATGCCCCTTAGTTGTCCTGGGTCATTGAAATATTAACGCCATTGGATCTGGAGGTCCATTTTATGATGCAGAAGAATGTGAATGATTTTTTTCAAAATAAAGTTAACTGACACAAAAATCTATATTAAAAATACAATAGAAATTTAAGGCAGAGAATTGCCAACAAGTCCATCATCTAAACAAATTTGTCCATCTGATCTGGATATTGTCCACATATGCCTATTTAAGTTTCTATATATTTTCAGTATTTTAAATAGAATTTACACACTGCATTTTAATTCCATATTACTCCATTAATCTTCTATTATTTGCTTCCTTTCTTTACCTTCTATCTAACCCTTCAATGTAATGAGTGTCAACAGGCTTGGGTTGATCTCACTACATATTTTCTTAACCTTTATAACTGTATAAACTGTCTCTGCAAATGTAAGATGTGGGGTCTTTTTTAAAACAAAAATGGATTTATATCTTATATATTTGTTCTTACTAAATACATCATCAGGCTGGGTACGGTAGCTCATGACTGTAATCCTAGCATTTTGGGAGGCTGAGGTGGGCAGATCATGAGGTCAGGAGATTGAAACCATCCTGGCCAACATGGTGAAACCCCGTATCTACTAAAAATACAAAAATTAGCCAGGCATGGTAGTACACATCTGTAGACCTAGCTACTCAGGAGGCTGAGGCAGGAGAATAGTTTGAATCTGGGAGGCAGAGGTTGCAGTGAGCTGAGATTGCACCACTCTACTCCAGCTTAGGCGACAGAGTGAGACTCTGTCTTAAAAAACAAAATCATCAACACTTTTCTAAATCAATAAGTAAAGAACAAACACATTTTAAAATAGCTGCAATGTATTTTATAGCATGAATGAAGCACTGTTGATCGACCATTCCTCCACTGAGGGAAACTCAGAACAGTTCCAGGGATTTGCCACTGTAAATAATGCATTGAGAAATATCCTCTTACATAGATTTTTATGTGCTGGTGTTTTTATTTATATTAAATAGATGCTACTTGGTATGTTAAATGTTGTATTTTAGCTGAAGCAGAGGCTCTATACACAAATGGAGAGTTGACAGTTATCTGGGGAAATAATGTATAAAATAGACTTATTTAAATATTAATAGATAGTCATGAAAAGGAGTTTTCTTCCCCCATTCAAATTATGTAGCAAATTGTTTTTGGTCAGTTTTTGCTGTACAGATACAGATACAACCATATAAAAAATCTGGTTTGATTGTCAGTTCTCAGCATAGTATTCAAGGAATGGACCTCAGAACAATGAATTGATGTGTTCATAAAAGTTCAATTAAGTTTGCTTAAACTGTTTCACAAAAATGTATTAATTATATATTCTCTTTGCTTTTTTTTTCTCCCCACACTGCTTCTTGTTCTCACCCACCACCAATCTTAAGTGAAAAGAAGAAAGTGAAACCACCCAGGATTTTGATCACTGGAAATGGGAACGCTCTGAATGTAAATGAGCCCAAGTATGTGAGGCCAAATAGAAAGTTAGAGATGCAAAAGTCGTGGTGTTGGTCAATCATTGTTTCTGTTCCAGATTTGCTCAGCAAAGAATATATCTGACTGCTCTTAACAAGTTTGATGAGCCTAAAAAAATGTCATTTTGAACACATGTAAAGGCAAAACATCTATTATGTTTTCAAATGAATAATTTTCTTGGCATCTAGAAAATGATCTTGACATATGGAGATCTTAGTTATTCATGTACCCCATGAAACTTTGGGCCATATACAGTTTTATGCCTGAAAATTGCTACCGCATTATTGTTGTGTTTATGAATTTTTAAAACTCTGCCATGAGCAAGCTGGTTGAGAATACTGATGTACCTCCTATACATCTATTTTATACTCTGGAGCACATCTATAAAACATTTGAGAGCTAGGGAAGGAAATCAGTATAATAACCTCAATGAATTTAATGAGAGGAAAGATATTCAAACTGGAAATATTCAAGTATAATAATATCTGATCTACTCTCTCTGTCTTAAAGTTTGAAATTAGAAAGCAGGACAGAAAAGCCTTTTGTAGCCTACAGAGAAAGCCTACAGACTAAATCTCATTCACTTCATTTTAGTATTCAAACCTATTTCCTGCCGCCATTTCATTTGCTCTGTCATGACCACGGTGAAGTCACAATCTTGAATTATTCCAGGGCATCATTTATCTTCACAGCAATCCCAGGTGGTAGACAGTATTTGTTTCTCACATATCCAGAACCTGGGCCTGAGAGGGGTGGAGTGACCTGCCTAAGGTCACATGGCTAGTAGGTGGTGTTCCTGAGTTGCTCATGCTAATCTAGTTCTAATGATATCTAGGATGATATTTATAATGTCTTCCCCTTGCTCACATTCAGTGACAGGAATGCAAGACAGAAAACTAGGCCAGGCACTGGATAGAGCAGTGACTATGACAGGTTTCTTTGTGACCTCCTGGAGTTCAGAAACCGAGTTTAGGCCGTCTCTCTTTAGCCTACAACAGGGCTCAAGGTAGACTCCTGGAATTCCATGTGTCCCTGGTAAGACCACCACTCCTCCCACACACTGCAGCCTCACCTGCCTCTAAAACCAGTTCCACAGAGGGCGATTACCTACCTTCCCACTTGCACTGCCTCCCGCCATGTGATCATCCCTTTTCCTGCCCTCCCAGGTCATGCACCACCATCCAGAATGTTATAGTCAAATGGCGCTGATCCAACTCAACTCATACTCGCCCCTCCTGGATCCCCAATTTTCCCTGTGTCCCCTGGAGCTTGAGCTTGGTCAGCAAAGCCTGAAGCCTCCTCCGTTTCTCCTCTTTCACTAACTGAAGCAGAGGGTTTGCTTCTGCAGCTGCCCACTGTTCTTTCTCATCACATACACCATGGGGACAATTACAGCCCATCTCCACTTTCAGGCCATTCTCTGTTGAAGCACAAGCCATGTAGATATGTCACCCCTATTCCTTCTTCCTGCAGTCATCTACATCACCCTGATCAACCCTCAACCCTCTGCCTCTCAACTCATTGATGATACTTCACCCAGACCAGTGTTTCTCTCTGCCTCTCCTGTCATCATTGGTCTAGGTGATGACTTTATCAAACATGTAGGTGATCCACCAGAAGCCCTGGCCTCTCAGTTCCCCAACCAGCTCACTTCTCCATCTCAGCTCAGCCACACGATTCCATTTTCATTCCTAGATTTGTCACCATCCCTATCTCTTCCACCTCAGAAACTTCACCTCGAGTGTCTCAGTAGACCCCATTTCTTATGTTCCTGGGGGACTCCCTCCACTCTAACAACCACGTGCCCTCATGAAGACCGTAAGATAATTCACGCTCCTAATTTTCTTACTGTCCCTATCCCCTCATCTGGCCCTGCTTTAGTTTTATGGTTCATCGAAGTAATTAGCCCTGGCCCAGGCACAGTGGTTCATGCTTATAATCCTAGCACTTTAGGAGGCTGAGGCAGGTACTTTACTTGAGGTCAGGAGTTCAAGACCAACCTTGCTAACATGGTGAAACCCAGTCTCTACTGAAAATAAATTAGCCAGGCGTGGTGGCACATGCCTGTAATCCCAGCTAGTCAGGAGACTGGGGCACAAGAATCTCTTGAACCCGGGAGGTGGAGGTTGCAGTGAGCTGAGATCATGCCACAGCACTCCAGCTTGGGTGACAGAGTGAGACCCTGTCTCAAGGAAAAAGAAAAAGAAATCAGTCATTGGCATATGTCTTCAGCTCTCTTGCTTTTTCTCTTTCCATCATCCTCACCTCACAAAACCCCAACCCTATTTAAATCTAGCACAATGCCCACTCTTGAGCTGGTCCTCCTAGATGGCTGGAGGAGACCATTCACCTCTACTTGCTGGTCTTATCTTAAATTCATAACCACAGATCTCAAGTAGACTCTGGTAATATTTCTGTATTTTCTTGGGTCATCCATTCTCCACTCTCGTGCAGGCTGCTGTCGTACCTTCTCTCTCCCTACTTCCACCATCATCTGACACTTCCAAAGTTTTAACTGAGGACCGAGGACCTTGTTTCCTATTTCATTGAGAAAAAAAAGAAGCAATCAGGAGGTTTCTTTTCCTCCCCCTATCCAATTTACAGTGTTTTTGGACCTGTCCCATGTACTCCTCTCTCTGCTGCTGCTGTCAGTGAACTTCCCATCAGAAATCAGTCTCTGTGAGCACCGTGACACCATCCCCTCTTATTATCACGGACTTGGTTGCTCAGTTATCCTGGGGCTTCTGCACTAGTTCTCTCCACTCTGCTAGATCAATCTCACCTATGTGCAAACAAATTGTAATAATCTCTTGTTTTAAAGGAAATGAAAGCAACAACCTCCCTTTCCCTGGTTTCCCTTCCAACCACAGGGCTTTTTCTCTGCCCCTATTTAGTGGAATTGTCTGCACTCGGTCTCCAGTTTCTAACTTCACATTCCTTCTTGAAACCACTTCTGTGTATTCCATCATCCTGAAACTTCCTTAGCTATGTTATTTCCACGCTCGGTTCAATTCTCAGTCTTTGTCTTACTGGACAAAGCAGATTTGGATGACGTTGTTCAGCACCATCCTTCCTAGAGCAATTTCTTTCCTTTGCTTCTGATTTTTCTTCTACTGTACTTACTGCTCGTCTTCTGAAACTTTGATCGGTTTCTTTGGTTTTGTTTTTTCGATGTTCTGTAGCAAACTCCTCAGCTGTCTTCTCTTTTATCATTCACTCTTCAGGTTCTCACCAAATCCATGGCTGTAAATATTCTCTTTATGATGCTCCCAACCAGATCCAACCTCTTCTCTTAGCTCAAGTTATGTGTATTCACTTAGCTGTTTGACATCACTGCGTGGATGTAAGAGAGTCATTGCACACTTATTAGGGCTAAAAAATAACCCCTGATTTCCAGCATCGCTGCCACTCTCCAGCATAGCGTGCTGTGTCCCTGTGTTCTCCTTCTCAGTAACACACGTTCACCCCTTGGTTAAGGCCAGAAACCTTGGATTCTCCCTTGATTCTTCTTCTCTCATTTTATCAGTGAGCCCTGTGAACTCTTCCTTTCATGTTGTCAGAATCCAGCCACATCACACTGACCCCACCACCACCACTAGCCAACACTGCCTTTGTCTCGGACAGTTGTAATTGCTTGTTAAGCAGTCCCCATGGTTCAACTGTTGGCCTCCTACATTCTGTTATACTCAGCCAATTAAAAAAGAAAAATAGGGAAGAAAGGATACATGCTCCTTTTCTTGATAAGAGGATATATGGCACTCTTAGAAAGTGCCATACAACACCTTTCCCTCACATGACCTCACCTACCTTCAAGGGAGGCCAGAGAATATAACCTTTACTATACATAGCCATGCACCTACTTAAAACCATGGTTCCTGTCACTAGGAATAAAGGGGAAGCAGATAGCAGCAAAAGAGCAATCTCTGCCATAGGAAACTTCTCTGAAATTACTTTGCAAGTAATAAGCAATTGAGGCAGAGCAGGAGCACATAAAAAAGGCCCTGAGATGAGGTTCTATAAATGCATGGGTCATTTGAGACCCTGAAGAAATCCCACAGGCCTGCCCACAGAAAGCAATGAGACCGTGCCTGCTACAAGCAGAAATGCTGCTAACAGTCAAATCTTTTGCGAACTTTACATTTTTCTAAACAATTTAGCTTATGTTCTTTAATATCGTTGAGTCATATATTTTATAAAGTAATACGGTAAGTACAATGCTCAAAAGAAAATTGACCAGACAATTCTGATAGTATGTTGACAGTGTGGAAGCTAAACAGAGGACTCTGCCTCGGGGAACAGTTGAAAGGTGTAGAGCCTTGAAATCCTGCCTAGCCAGGCTCGTGCAGACAAAGTGCAAAGGCATTTGTTATAATTCAGCTATGCCAGCCTCGTTGAACCTCTGTTTCTTCGTCTGTAAAACAGAGGTAATAGACGATGGGCAGTCTCTCAGCCTTTTTCAGGGCACTGGAAAGGTCAGTAATGAAAGGAGAAGAAAAAAGATGGAAGACAAGACTCTTTAAAACTTAAAAAATAGAATGCTGGATAAACAGGAGCAAAAGCAACTTTAGTTTTCCATAAATAATTCCATTGTTTCAGTTTGCTTTTGGCAAACTCACAGGAAATGGAAAAGAAAACTTTAGCCACCAGGTGTCTCTATCTCTGCACCAAAGCTAATTTTCTGTGTGTAATTTACCTTCAGATTCTCATTTAAACACTGTAAACTCAAATAATTTATTAATATGTTGTAGGTCTCCCTGAGATTTTAAAATTAGCATTGATATTTGATTTTCCAACCACCAAAATAAGTAGTCATTGGATATTATTATATAATTATTATCTAAGTTGCTTCTGATTTTGTGATGGGCTTATCTACACAGTATCCTAAAGACATCTTTCCCCCACCCAATTTATTATTCTTAGAATTGACTTCTCTTTGAACGATAATGAAAAGCAGATCATCCTGGACCTTGCTGTCTATAGGTAAAAACATTTGAAATGTATTTATTGTATGACGTTTCTGTCTGTTTGCATTATCAGTAGCAATTTTTGAGTTCTGAAAAATTTTGAAATAGAATTGAATTAGCTCTATAGTTAAATGAAGCTTATTTGTAAAGACAGAGGAGTTACTATAATTTTTCAAAGCATGAACATGAAAGGAAAGGTAAAGAAGGCCACAATCTCGTGACTATGAACTCAGGGATACCTAAGGCAGAGTTTAAATAATTCTCAGACCTGTGCTGTTTTCTGATGCTGATACTAGAAGGACCCCATTCTGCTCTTTGCTACCATAGTCCTTGGTTTTTGTCTAAAATGCCTTGCTATAGTAGTAGGTATCAAGTGGTCGACTCTCCTCTCTCTGTCCCATCTTAGTGGCCTGGGGGGAACACCTAGCAGCCTCTGTCACCAGTGGACCCTTCTTCCCTGTGGCCCTCTCACATCCTACCTGTTTTCTCACCTGTGGGCAGAGTGGCACAGATCTGCCTGCCTTCATTACTATACCCAAAGTATTATCCCTCTGTCCTCCCTAAAACTCCATGATTTTGACACTTAAACTCTCAGCCTGTATCGCCTCCTGTGCCTTTTGTGGAAGCACCTGAAGGCATCAGGTCCCTCTGCCTCATTCCCTGAAGATTTTAGGCTCTGGTTCACTGTGCTGATACCTCCTTCTGATGACCTCAGTGTCCCCTGGTATAATCTCAGAGGCTGCTTGCCTGTGCTTCCCTCTGCCTGTATTGTCCTCCGTGTCCTTGTGACTTGCTGCCTTGTGTCCTTCAGGCCTCTGTTCAGTGTCACCTAACCTCATTAGAGGGGCTTCTCTGCCCCACCATCTAACATAAAGCAATACCTACCCCTGCCCAGCACTTCCTTCCACTCTTCCTGCTTTTTGGTTTCCTGCTGACAAAGTGTGAATTTACTTATGTTAAAATTTGTAGTTAGAGCAGGAAACTTGTTTTGTTTGTTCTTTCATCTCTATGTCTCCACACCTAAAATGATACCTGGTACCTGTTAGGTGTCCAGTAAATACAAGAATGAATGACTGAATGAATGAATGAATACTGATGATGGAGTATAACATTTACATGTGTGAATGAATGGATGACTGTTTACATGCATAAATTATAATAAATGGCTTTCTCTTTTTAATGGCTTTCAATGTGCCCCTGTTTATTTAATCTCTCAGTAACCCTGGGAGGTAGGAGGGATTATTACCCAAGAGGGAGTGAATTTTCCAAGAGTGAGTCTTGTCAAAGTAAACAGGGATAGAAGGAGCCAGATCATCAACCCTCAGGACTTCAACAAACTTTGCTGATTTGATGGTGATAAAATACAAAACTTAAAATCTATCATTTTAACTATTTCAAAATGGACACCACCGTGGTATTTAATAAATTCACAATATTGTACAACCATTACCATTGTCTAGTTTCAGAAAATGTTTATCACCCCAAAAGGAAACCCCATGGCCCTTAAGCAGTCACTGCCCATTCTCCCTCTTCATGACAACCACTAACCTGTTTTCTATCTCTATAGATTTGCCTACTTGGTATTTTTCATATTAATGGAGTCATACAACACGTGGCCTTTGTAACTGGCTTCTTTCACTTACCATAATGTCTTCAAGCCTCATCCATGTTGTAACATATGTCAGAATTTCCTTCCGTTTTATGGTCAAACAATATTCCGTTGCATTGATATACCACATTTTGTTTATCTGTTCACCAATTGGTGGGCATTTGGGTTGTTTCCACCTTGGCTCTTGTGAACCAGGGCTACTCTTAGTGCGGTCCCTTCCTCTCTGCACCGAGCTGTGTCTGATCAGCTGCGTGCCTTTCCACACCTCCTGTCAATTCTTCTGCCTGCTTGCTGCCAGGTCATCTGCCCTTACAAAGCTCCCAGCTCTTCTCTCACTAGCTTCATATCCTCTGCTCCTCCAGCTTCCCAAGCTTCCATTTCTAGTGTTTTGCAGACAAATCACTGTTTAATGACTGTAAGTCCTTTCCATTTTTAGGCCCTGTGTCTGGAGTTTAATGAATGTATACCCCTTTCTTTTTCAGCTGTTGGCTGCTTCCTGTTCAGTCCTCAAATGAAACATTCCTCATTCCCATGCATGTGCATTTTAAGGGGTGGTAGTATTTCTCCTGTCTATGTTGTAAAACTCTTTCATTTCCATGAATCTGTCTAAATGAATTATGCTGTAATTCCCGGTTATCTTTATGCTCACATGGGTGTATACTTGAAAGTTAAATTCATTCATTCACATCTGCTTCCTGCCTTTATTCAAGAATCTATAGAATACCTACTATGTGCCAGGCATGGGGAGACTATAACTGGCATATTCTAAATACAGTCATGATCTCCTATCACTTAGAGCCCAGTGGGGGAGGAGGACAGACAATCGACAGGCATCTAATGAGTTACAAAGGAAGAAGGATGCTGTCAAGGCAAGGGACAGTGTTCAGGGATGGGAATAATGCTGTGTGGGGAGTGGTCAGGGAAAGGGGGCGACATGAGCAATGACAAGGGAGGATGGGAAGTAGCTTTTTCTGCAGAAACCTGTCAGAAGATTATTTTTGGCAGAGAAAGGCCTTATACATAAAGACAGATAAATATTTTAAGGTCCAAGCATGGAAAGTAATATATTGTTCACCAAAGCGTACATATCACATGTGAAGTTGTGGAAATTGTTTTTAAATGGCATATTATAATACATTTTTAACACTAGCTATGTATTGGGTACTATGCATGTTCCTTCCTAGCAATCCTAGGGCTAGCTGCTAGTAGTATTCCCATTTTACAGAAGAGGAAACTGAGGCCTAGAGAGGTTAAAGAATGTGGTCCCAGGTAATAAAGCAGGAAGGGGAGGAGCCAGTTCCCCACAAGCCTGTGTGACTTCAAACCTATGTCTGTTACCCCTGTATTAGCTTACCTGCCTTAACATTTGTGATTTTTAAGAGTTCTGTGTTTTCTAATGTTCACAATTAGTATTTTGAAATATATGAACATAATTATTTGGCTAAGCTTCTGATTTTAATGAGTGATGTGAAATCTAAATCTTTTATTTGCTCATCAGTGGAAGAGAATAATTGCCAACTGATCTTGGGGTCACTGCCATAAATGGAAGGGTTTGCTTATTCAGAAGGATGTGCCTTTGCAGGGAGAAGCAAGCTAGTTTTCCAGGAGAGATAGTATCAGGGCAGCTGCAGAACAGCTGCAGGGGATCCAGAGCCACCAGGGAAGCAGGAGCTGGTGGTTGCAGGCCTCAAGCAGGGTAGAATCAGCATTCCTGGCTATTCAAGTCTTAGGGGCTTAAAATAAAATATTCATGAAAGAGCATGGCAAGCTGTTTTTTGCAAACCTCTGGTGTTTCAGGCCTCGGATATTTTTGGGTTGGGGCAATCAATGCCAAGTGTACTTGTGGCTCTAAAAATGAAATTGCTGATATGTTGAATTTCCTTTGGTCTGGGGATTAATTTAAAGCTAATTTGTAAAGACCCAGTTAGCACAGATATTTTAAATATCCTTCATTTAAGATGGTTCTATAAATGTGAATTTGTATTTGCACTTCTTCAAACTTGATATTTTTTTAAATTGTAAGATTTTGTGTCTTTAATTTTGAAGATATATGGATACCTCTTTAATTGATGTTGATGTGCAACCAACTTATGTGCGAGTGATGATCAAAGGAAAGGTAGGTGGACCCTGTAGACTATGACACTTTCAAAGGCTACGCTTTGAACTAAGCTGTGGTGCCTCCATTTTTTTTTTTAAGTATTATTGAAATAGAAAAAGGGGCCAGGCACAATGGCTCATGTCTATAATCCCAGCACTTTGGGAGGCCGAGGCGGGTGGATCACCTGAGGTCATGAGCTCAAGACCAGTCTGGCCAATATGGTGAAACCCCGTCTCTACTAAAAATACAAAATTACCAGACATAGTGGCTCATACCTGTAATCCCAGCTACTCAGGAGACTAAAGCAGGAGAATCCTTGAACCTAGAAGGTGGAGGTTGCAGTGAGTCAAGATCGCCCCATTGCACTCCAGCCTGGGCTACTAGAGTGAGACTCTGTCACAAAAATAAATAAATAAATAAATAAATAGAAAAAGGGAAACTAAATAGAGTGCTACTTTTTAGCACATGGTTTTATATCATGGGAGTGGTATATTGTGGGAATGGCTACTGACCCTATGTAGTTGAATATCATTAATATTTTAAATCTGGTTTTGTGGTATACTTTTTCAAAGCTAATAACATAATCACATGTGTGGGAGCCTATGCATGAAATTAAATAGTACACCCATTCTAAGGTGTCAATGATTTCATTCATAACAACTATAATTTTATTATTTCTAAAATACCATTTTTTACTAATTTAGAGCATTCATATGGGCTTGAAGATTAGCTTGAAGATTTTTACATGGAAATATGTTTACATTTTGACAATGTTTTCTCTATAAATTACTTTTTAGCCATAAATGAACCCATGAATATTTCACTGTTTGTGACTGATAACTGTTCTTAGACTATCTGTTAAAATAGGTAAAATAGTTTGTGCATAGCAAGCATAGCTCATATATATTTTTATTAAGTTTAAGCACGTTTCTTAATTGAATGGTGTACCTTGAATTTGTAATGAAAATACCTCTTGTAGTAACCCTCTCATGTAACGTCCTTGCTCTCAATGATACTATCTACTTATTTTCAGCCATTTCAGCTTGTCCTTCCTGCAGAAGTGAGACCTGATAGCAGCTCTGCTAAAAGATCTCAGACAACAGGTCATTTGGTCATCTGCATGCCCAAGGTAGGTCATGTCACTGGGGTCAATTTCAAGTCTGGATATGATGATTCCTGAGGGATCTTGACCTGTCAGAACTAATGACTACTTCTGATTAAAGTACATTTTAGTTGGGAGAACCAGGAAATCTCACACTAGCTGAGGTAGGAGAACAAAGGCATGTGAGAACAAAGAACTCAGACTGGGGTATGTTTTGGGCCTCAAGTGATTTATCCTTTCCTGAAAGAACTTGGGGAAATTAAACTTAAAAATATTAATTTGTCTGTAGAAAGAACATGGATTCCTCATTACGGGTCATATGAGTGAGTTGGGATTTTCCTGCTGTAGGCTGAAGAAACCCCAAATAAAACTGGCGTTATAAAGCCAGTCTTAAATGGTTCATTTAAATAATGAATACATGGTTCATTTCTTGTAGCAACATAGGAGAAGGTGGGGGTCAGGGAGGCCAGGCACATAGGGTCAGGATCTTTCTGATATGTCAGTTCAGTTCTGTCCCCAGACTGCTTTTCTGCCATGACATGTGCACTAGCAGTGACTTGGGCAGCATTTGTTCTTGTTCCTACCTCACATGAGATAAAAAGACAGAGGATCAGAGAAGAAACACAGAGAATCTCGCTCATCACAATGAAACAGAAGTTCCTCTGGACCAATTAGGTCAGTTTAACTGAAGAACCCAGCAAGTCTTGATTAGCATAATCGTGAACCGTTAAAACCAATCTCTGGCAAAAAGATGGTAGTACCATCAGGCTTCCCTGGATTCAGCATCCATGGATTCAACCGACCATGAATCAGAAATATTCAGGAAAAAAAAAGTGTCTGTACTGAACATGTACAGGCTTTTTTTCTCGTCATGATTCCCAAGACAACACAGTGTAATAACTACTTACATTTACATTGTATCAGTTATTGTAAGTAATCAAGATGATTTAAAGTGTACAGATGTGTGTGGGTAATAGACAAATACTATGTCATTTTTAACTGGGGACTTGAGCATTTTAAGATCTTGGCGTTCAAGGGATCTCCTGGAACCAGTTCCCCACAGACACCAAGGAGTATTTTGATTGGTTTCTATGAATCATACCTCATTCCATAAGCTAGAGGTAGGGTCACCTTTGCCCAACACACCTAGATTTCAAAGGGGAAGAGTAGACAAACCAGTCAAAATTGGGTTCTGCTGGTGAGGAAAAAGAGGAGAATGGAGGAGTGCCAGCTATGAAGAGTATAAACTTGATTAACTAAAAAGATTTCTGTAATAATTTAATAATCCTGCATTTTCCTGTAGCCAATTTCCAGCAGATTCATTATAGGTAATCAAGTATGTATTTGTACTCGGAGGCAATAAAATAGCAAATACAATTTGTTGTCAAGTAATAAAATAACAAACACAGCTGTAAGAATTGTATTGTCTTTGATGACTGCAACAAATTAAAGAAATACTTCTATAGTAACCAGAATATTCTATAGGGAAACCCAAGAGATAAATTAATTACTTCAGTACTTCAATATAGACGTTTGTATAACACTATGATTAGCAGCCTATTTTTTTTTTTTGTATGTATGAAACTTCTAACTGAAAGCTGAAAAGCCAAAAAATTAAACAGAGACTGCTAATTCCTAATGGGAAATCAAGACAAATGATTTGTATATCCTTTGCAAGGTCCCAGGCAATTGATGAGAAAAACTCTACTGCACTGTTTATGAGTCTTAAACAGCTGCAGCATTCCATTTCCCTTTTCTTTTTTATTTTTTATCTGTCTAAATTTTTCACATGAAAATAATAATAAATGGCTTATTGAAGAAAAAGCATTTTAGAAGTGCTTGGTTGAAGATGAAATAATTTGTATATATAATGACTAGGAATAGTTATATTTTCCTCATTAATAAATTATGAATAATATTTTTCTTGAGGTATATATTTTTTAAGATGTCCGACTACCATGTTAAAGTAACATTGATGTATAAGCTCATCAACTCCTATCACCATTCCTTTAAAAGGTAGATAGTAGGCCGGGCGCGGTGGCTCAAGCCTGTAATCCCAGCACTTTGGGAGGCCGAGGCGGGTGGATCACGAGGTCAACAGATCGAGACCATCTTGGTCAACATGGTGAAACCCCGTCTCTACTAAAATTACAAAAAATTAGCTGGGCACGGTGGTGTGTGCCTGTAATCCCAGCTGCTCAGGAGGCTGAGGCAGGAGAATTGCCTGAACCCAGGAGGCGGAGGTTGCGGTGAGCCGAGATCGCGCCATTGCACTCCAGCCTGGGTAACAAGAGCGAAACTCCGTCTCAAAAAAAAAAAAAAAAAGGTAGATAGTAGAAACAAACTCTGGAGAATAATGTCTTACTCAAAATAGGTCATCTTTTTCATCATGAGTAGCTATTTGCAAGGACTATGAAGCTCAAACAGCAACAGATCTTAAAAACCACCAAAAGTTTAAAAAAGTCTACTTTCACTTATACTTAATATTAAAAATGTATATTTATGAAAATTAACATCTTTCTAATTACTATTGATGGAAACGTTTTAAGTACCAACGTTTAATCCACTGAGCAATTCTATATTAGTTTAGATTTATGAGCTTACTGTGCAATTATGTGACTCTGACTTGCATTATAATAACTGAAGGGAATTCTTGGAGTTATAAAACATATTGTAAGAATCAACCTTTGTCCATCATCAGACAAATTGATAAAGAAACTGTGATATGTGTGTGTGTGTGTGTGTCACCATTTAATACAATAAAATATCATTCAGCCATAAAGGGAATGAGATTTTGCCATTTGCCACAACATGAATGAATCTGGATGACATTACGCCAAGTGAATTAAGCTAGACACAGAAGGAGAAATATTGCATGATGTCTCTCATATATGGAATATTAAAAATAAATTCAAATATACAGAGAGAACAAAACAGCGGTTAGCAGGGATGAGGGGGATGGATTGAGGAAGTAAACAGGGAGATCGGAGGGTACAAAGTAGCAGGTATGGTGGGTGAACAAGTCCAGAGATGGAATGGACAAGATGAGGATTATGGGTAATAAAATTATACTGTATTTGGGATTCATACTAAATAAGTTTACCTGCTCTTGCCACAAAAAGAGAAAATGAGTAACTCGGAGAGATGATGGTTATTTTAATTTACTTCAGTATAGTAGCCTTTTTATTACTCTATATATATCCCATAACATCATATCTTATGCCATAAATATACACAATGACATTTATTCTTTAAAAAAGTCTTCACAATCTGTGCATCTGACAAAGGGCTAATATCCAGAATCTACAAAGAACTCAAACAAATTAGCAAGAAAGAAACAATTCCATAAAAAAGTGGGCTAAGGACATGAATAGACGCTTCTCAAAAGAAAATATACAAATGGCCAACAAACATATGAAAAAGTGCTCAACATCACTAATGATCAGGGACATGCAAATTAAAACCACAGTGTGATACCACCTTATTCCTGCAAGAATGGCCATTATCAAAAAAAAAAAAAAAGCCATTGGTGCAGATGCTGTGAAAAAGAACAAGAACACTTCTGCACTGCTGGTGGGAATGTAAACGTGTACAACTACTATGGAAAACAGTGTGCAGATTGCTCAAAGAACTAAAAGTAGAACTACCATTTGATGCGGCAACCCCACTCCTGGATATCTACCCAGAGAAAAAGAAGTCATTATTCAAAAATACACCTGCACACACATTTATAGCAGCACAATTAAAAATTACGAAAATGTGTAACCAGCTCAAATGCCCATCAATCAATGAGTGTATAAACTGCATAAACACACACACAGACACACACACACACACGTGTCTATAGGAATACTACTCAACCATGAAAAGGAATGAATTGAATTAATGGCATTTGCAGCAAATGGATGGGATTGGAGATTATTGTTCTGAGTGAATTAACTCAGGAATGGAAAACTAAACATTGTATATTCTCACTCATAAGTGGCAGTTAAGCTATGAGGATGCAAAGCCATAAGAAGGATACAGTGGACTCTGGGGACTCAGTGGGAGAGGGTGGAAAGGGGATGAGGACTAAAATATTACAAATTAGGTTCAGTGTATATTGCTTGGGTGATGGGTGTACCAACATTTCACAAATCACCACTAAAGAACTTCCTCATGTAACCAAATACCATCTGTTCCCCCAAAAACCTATGGAATTAAAAAATAAAACACATAACATAAAAATTATCAACTTAAAGAACTTTGTGTAATTAGAATGCCTTTGGCTTCAAGTAACAGAAACCCCTTACTCAAAGTGCTTTAAATGATAAAGAAAAATATATTACTTTACCTAAAAAAAAAAAGAATCACATAGACACTTACGTACAATTTCAATTCATTCACAGCATAGCATCGTCAACATGTTAAGTGCTATTTAATACTTCTAGAATAGTCTTTAGTAGTTTTTAATAGTTGGATACTCTAAATCAATGTTTAATATTAGATTTGATGTTTGGTAGTTCCCTCTTTGTGTCAGCATTTGTAAAGAATGCTGTGAAGGGCTGACCTAGTTTTGCCTATGCATGGATGATTATATCATGTTAATTCAGTGATCTTTGTATACGTTTTCTAGAGACACAACATTTGTCATTGAATCCACAAGTCTCTATATTTCATATTAGATACTTTATTCAGCATTTTTTCACGATGTCAAATTAATATTTTTCTCTTTTCTTATTCCTAAATGAGGCTTGATCTGTACACTGTGGATACTGACAAATAGGCCAGTTTCATTAGTTTGTCTTTTCCCTGTCATGTGGCTCATGGCTATATTTTGTGTTGCTGCCATGCCAGTGGATGTTCCCAGCTCAGCCCCTTGTTCCAGGTTTCACTCTGTGCTAGCTCTGCAATCCTCGGTGCTTCCTAACACTCACCGCTGAGTCAGTGGCATACCACAGACTGCTATAATACACAAATATCACAGTCCCTAGCATACAGCCAGGACTCTTGTCTCCATTTGTCATCTTCATATCTTACCTTGTGGA